TTTGGAAAGTAATTGTAAACATTGTACATGTAGTTTTTAGTATAAAGACATAAAACCACCCTGGGGGCAGGCAGAGTGCCTGGAACTGTCCTGCTGGATGGACCTCGGCAGGGCAGGAGAAAGAATTTTACAGATAAGATACAATAAACAACCTTGAGACTGAGAAATGAAGAGCTCTGACTCTTTCTTTGACTACCAGGCTGGGAAAAGAGACTTTCCAACTTTTCTTGGGGTCCCTCTGACCAGCAAGAGATCCCAACAACCAGGCATGAAGGTAAACTTGCTCTTCAGATGTTTTTAGAGAGAAGTTTGCAGCAAAAACTTGTTGTTAAAATGGGAAAATAGAACAGTGCATGAAAATGCTTCTCCTGACAGGCTCAAACTCCCACATGGGGCAGATGCGGTTATTGCTGCTCAGAGCAGCTCTGAGATGAACAATTTCCATGTGCAGAAACTCCTGTGGCATTACATGACTCCTGTATTAACAGACACTAAACCTCCCTTGTAAATTGGCTGCCGTGGGGGCACTCCCATTTTTAAAAAGCTGTTTGCCTCCCAAGACATGCAGCCTCAGTTTGATCTGATTATCACACCATAATAAAACACAGAGTAATGGGCTGTGGGATCTCACAGCTTAAAAAAAGAGAAAGAAGTAAAATCCCAGAACGCATCATTAGTTTCCCAGGATAAATGGTGTGGGATTGTTATAACCCATTTCATGTTCAGCTTTGATCACAAGTCTAGGACAGCAGTGCAAGGTTGGGGTGCACCTGGCACTGTCATGATGCTGAAAGCTGCAACAGGTCATAGAAAATTCTCTGTAAGACACCCACAGTAAGCAGAAACAACACTGAGACACAAAACCCACTCTTAAGTCATTGGAACAGGGGGAGAAAAGATTAAATCACACTCAGACATCTGTCTCTTTGCCTCAAAAAAACTTCATTCTCATGCTGAGTCTGGTTTTAAAATGTCACCTTGAAAATGTGTGACATTTTAATGGGCTGATTGCCTGAGATTCTCAAATCCTTTAATTAGCATATGAATCACAATGTTAAATATTGTGGGAAAAGCATAAGAAAGTAGAATTATGAAAGAATGCCTTGCATTTCCCTTGGTTAAACATATCTTGGGAGGACTGTCTCATAGAAATCTAATATTACAAAGACAAATGAGATTTAAAAAAAATACTGTGGTATTCTCATTTATACCATCAGCTGGTTGTGACTGCATGTTTTTGTTTTTGTTTTGTTTTTTTTTTATTTTATTTTACAGCTGCCTGTGAAAGCAGCCTGGGTGTTGCCTGTTCTTTCAATAACCCTCACAGCCCATGACAGCATCACCACAGCCACTGCTGCAGCCCTGAGGATGGGCTGCATTCCCTTTTCCCACATTTCTGATGCAGCTCCAAAATATTCAGCAGGATTTCATCAACGTCTTTTGTTCATCTCTCTGCAGTAAACAGGTTTTTTTTTTTTTTTTGGTGGCTCTTAAAAATGTTGCAGGCCAAAACAAACCATCAATTCCCAAAAATCCTTCAGTCAGAGAAAGCCAAGGAAGAAGCTCCTTTGTGCCAGGGCTGTAGGAAGCAAAGCAGATGCATAAATAATTGCTGGATTAGGGTTTGTGGTTAGAGAAAACCCTTCCAGCTGAAACAAAACTTCCTGTAAGGATCTAACTCTTAGGAAGTTTTGGTGGGAGGAGAGAGCAGTGAAGTTTGCACGGCAGCTTTTCTCATCTGGTGTGAGCAGCTCTGGCAAGGCCTGAGCAATTGTTGATGGCTCCTGCACAGCTCATCTGCCCTGGGAGCTGATTTGGGACAGAAATCTGCCTGAATGGAGATGGCAAATTCCATTTACTTGTGCAAACGTGGTGAAGAATCCCACAGAGGAACAATCTGGGAATGTACTTTGGATTATAAGATTGAGGAAAGAAAAAGGGCACAAACCACTTGTTATAGATGGATCATGAGATGATTGGCTCTCACAATTACAAGATAATTGTTATGTGAATATTAAGAAAAGCTTTAGTGATGTACAGTTATGTTATTGTAGTTTAGATGCCCTCTGTTCTCCCCACAGTTCCCTTTCCCCCTGTATTGTTGCCATCACACAGCCTGGGCTGTCCAGGACAGGTACAAAGGAGCTGCACAGGTGTCCCTTGCATGGGGCAGCTGGGAATGGAAAAGCTTGGGGGTGCTCAGGGGGTGAGGCATGGCAACAGCTGAGCTCCAATCCAGTGACAAGAAAGCAGTTTGCACTGATAAATGGCACAGAAGAGCTGCCTGACAGACTTTGGGAGGGGCCAGGGCTGGCTGATGCAGCCCCAGGGGTATAAAAGACTGAGCATCCATCTTGAAGATGAACTGGGGATGTGGTGTGCATGAGGGGCAGTTCCCAGCACTGCAGCTTTTTCCTTATGCAGTCCTTTGTTGTATTTTTGTTGAAGTTTAATAAACCTCTTTAAGTTTTCAAAGTGAGCAGTTGTCTCTCACACCACATAAATCAGATTCGATCTTCATGCATCAGAAGTTTGAGGTTAATCAAACCTAGGGTGTAGTTCATCCATTCATGAAGATTCTGTGTGAGTTGGAGCTGACCCTTGGCTTGGATCTTTCCATTTCCCTTGAGATCTGTTCAAATCCAGGGATCAGAGCCCTTTCCAGTTTGCAGCAGAAAGCCCAAAACCACACACAAAAAGCTGTTTAAAGGAGGAGACAGAACCAGCTGTGAGTCTGTCCTGGGTCTCTGGTAGAAACAGAGGAGAGGTATGGAAGTTTTGGGGTAATTTGGATCTCCCTGAGAGATTGGAGAGTAACTGCAATAACACAATTTATGTGTTAATGAAAGAGACCAAACACAGGAAATGGCACTGGGAGAGTTAAACTCAGGATTAATGTGCAGAAACAAGAGGAGAACAATCTAAATTTCCAGAGCAGGAGGCAGGATTTGCTGTTCAGGGCTGGTTCAGAGACCTGCCAGAGAGGCTGAGCTGCCTGAAGTGTTTCCTGGGCCATGGGGGGAAGGATTTTCCCCTTTCTGCTCATCCCCCTGACAAACCAGCTGCAGCTTTGGGATTTACAGAGCTGGGGGAACAAGGGGAACCTGAGCAATGTCCATGCCTGTGACTGTGTCCTGGGTTGACTATATGATGCTTTTATCTCCAATTGTCTCGCTCTGTCTATGCTGAATAATAAGTTTTTCACCTTTAAGATGTGTTCCAGAGAGTGAAGGGGGAGAGAAGAAGCAGCAGTTTGTTTTCAGACACAGCACTCACTCCTCCATGTTCCTGCTCCTGGCCTGTGTTGTCTGTGGATGGACAGACAGCAGGACAGAGCTCTCCTTTGCTTTTAGTTAGTTTAGCTAGCTGAGGCAAAGTTCCCTGGACTGTGGGGTTTTTTCCCTTTTCTTTGGAGCTGTTTAACCTGCTCTGGCCTGAACACCCAGAGAGCACCGGCAGCTGCGCCTGAGGCCACTGGGCCGGGCCTGGCCTGTGGCATTTCCAGCACTGAGGGACTGATCAGAGACTGAGTGAGCTGAGCTGCAAGCCGGGGAGGGACTTTCTCAGTTTGTCATCTCTTTTGGAGAAGCAAGGGGTTTATTGTTTAATATTGTTTAGGTTTACTGTTTAATAAACAGGTTTTTCCACTTTTCTCCAAGGAGGTGTTTTCTCCCGGACCGGTTGGGCAGAGGGGCCGATTGAATCTGTTTTCCTAGAGGAGCCCTTCTGGGGATTCTCTCCCAAATTTGCTCTGAACCAGGACAGATTGCCAGTGTGGGAGATCCCTGCTCCCACACCATGGTAGGGCCTGAAACCCTCAGAAAAAACAACCTTTCCCTGCTGGGAGAAGCCAGGTGAGCAGCATGGCTGTGGCTTGATTCCTGTGGGGGATTTATTCCAGCCTCCCCTTTGGTGAGGTGGTGCCCAGGAATTAATCCCAGCACTGCTCTCACTGCTGCAACACCTGGGCACAGCTTGGCGCACAACCAGCACTAAACCATCCAGGGTTTCCATGATGTACCACAGGAATAATTCCAAGGCTTTCCATGATGTACCACAGGAATAATTCCAAGGCTTCTCCTCCAAGGAAAACCATCCCTCTCCTCCCCAAGCCCCTTCCCTTGTACTCATTATTGGTCTCTCATGGACCCTTCTCATGTAAACACATACACAAAAGGAAACAATAACACCCATTTCTGTAGAAGAATATATTATTTAGCAGATTGGTTTAAAAGTTAAAAAAAAAATCTGTACATTTTTGAAGGTGTCTCTTGTTGTTTTTTTTTTTGCATCAACAAGGATAAAAATGTGTTTACACCAAGGTTTTTTCAGTTTTGTGCTCCCTTCTTTGCCCATGCTGAAGGATCCCATGGTGTCCAGCTGTACCAGGCCACAAAGCCACCTTGCAAACTCACTAAGATTTCTTCTGATTTCTTCTAATGTAGAAAAAAAACAAAAAGAAAATTGCATCCACTATGTTGGGCTTCTGAATGTACTGTGAACACTATAAAATTCAGAGAATAATGAGGAGAAATATGTCATTAGGGCCTACCAGGCAAACAAAAATGCATGCCTGGACCCTTGTCAGTGTATAAGCATCTGGTGAGCTATGCTGTAATTAGCATCCTGCTGTACACATACAGAAAGTATCTTGACTAAAACAACCCCTGGTGCCAGGGGACCATGTCCCAGAAAAGGCTCCTTAGCTAAAATCTGATTTGTCTCTACAGATTGTGGGCAGCTGGCTCTCCAGGAAGGCAGATCTGCTGAAGGATGGTGCTGTGCTGCAGCCTGAGCAGTGTCCGCAGGGAGAATTCTGCCAGGAGGCTGTGGTGGGAATTCTGGAGCTTGGGGAATCCTGTCAGGAGGCTGTGGTGGGAATTCAGAACCTGGGGAATCCTGTCAGGAGGCGGTGGTGGGAATGCTGGAGCCTGGGGAATCCAAATTCAGGAGCCTGGGGAATCCAAATTCAGGAGCCTGGGCAATCCTGCCAGGAGGCTGTGGTGAGAATTCAGCGCCTGGAGATTCCTGCCAGGAGGCTGTGGTGGGAATTCAGCGCCTGGAGATTCCTGCCAGGAGGCTGTGGTGGGAATATTGGAGCCTGGGGAATCCTGCCAGGAGGCTGCGGAGGGAATTCAGAGCCTGGACAATCCTGTCAGGAGGCTGTGGTGGGAATTCAGAGCCTGTAGAGGGAATTCAGGAGTCTGGGAGCCCGCGGTGTCCGACGGCAGCAGCATCTCTGTGAGGAGGCTGCAGGCTGTGGGTCCATCTCTCCCTGCATGGTCCCACTTGGATTTTGATGTAGCCACCACCTCTGCTTGGCTAATGGAGCATTTCTCAAAGCAGGGCAGCCTCAAGGCTCGTGGTTTATTTGTTCAAAGGCTGTTTCCTCTCACTTTTCGGTACTGCCGGTGGTCAAACCTTCACTTTTCTGTTTCTGCAGCTGGAATGAAGAGCAGAGCAGGATTAATCCCCCTGACTCACACCCACAGTGCTGCTGTGAGTCCCACACTGAGATTCCCACAAGGCATCTGAAACATTTCCTGGGAAATAATAGGCAGCAGCTTGGAATATCAGGGTTTTATCCAAACAGCTCTGGATGAATGTCCTGGGCAAACAGAACTCAATCTTTCTCATCAGCTATTGTACCAGGCTGTCAGATGATTAATTAGGTCCTCTTGTTTCAGAATATTTCTGGATTCAAGCAGCTCCTATTTTTTATGGCCTCTAATAGTGCCAATACACTGCAATTAAAGCTCCATCAGTTTGTATAAAAATGCTGTTTTGACAGCTTCTGTAAACCAGAAGTAAAATCTCAGCTCAACTTGAAAGATGAATAAAACTCAGAAAGTCTGGCAGTTGTATTTGAGTTCTTTTGCTCTCGTTTGACAAATGCTCCTGTCTAAATGGAAAAATGCCCAAAAGGCTTTGTTAAGTTTAATTTTAAAGGCTCCTTTAAAATTTAGTGCCCTCAGAGCCTGTGCTCTTTGATCAACCAGCCTCAGTACTTGAACTGCTGAGGGGCTTTTTCACCAGAGCACTTGGGAGGAGATGGGAGCTACAGCAAAGCCTCAGTTCCACTCATGGATGATCAAGTGGAGGAACCTTCATTACCCACACATCAAATATCAGCACAACTGCTGCTCCAGGGCACTTCCCACCTTATTTTAATGATGGAGTGGCTGATAGTAGCCTCCCTACATGGTGAATTTTTTCATGTCAGAAACTCCCTACTCTGTGATGCCATTAGGGCAGGTTTTGTAGTGGATCTTGGCAGGGAAAAGAGGCACTGGAAGAGGTGTGCAAGAAAGGAGTGCAGAGCCATTGTCACAGGCTGCAGGGAGCTGGATCAGCACTCTGACTGCTGCCCTGGGCACTGCTCTCTGCCCTGCCAGGCTCCTGAGGCAATGCAGACCTGCTGAGAGGCAGCAAATGTGGTTACCTGGAATTCCCACCTCCCCTGAGCCTTACAAAAGGAGAGAAGCTCTGCACATTAAAGTCCCCAATGGGCAATTAAAGGGCTTCACTGGTGTTTAATCCTCCTGGGTGCTTTGCATGACAGAGTGATTCCTCATAAAACACCAAGCACATCCTTGATGACACACAGGTGACTGGAAGTTTCTTCCCAGAAAATAAACTGGGAAAATAAACTCATGCACTGGTGCTGCAAAGCTTGAACTGCCCAACCCCAGAATATTTTACTGCAGTGTAACCCAAGCAAACTCCCTCCCAAGGGAGGGCAGATCCCTCCAGGGAGAGCTGTGCACCCTTCAGGGGTTATCCGTGGGTTCTGTGCCTTGCAAGCAGCTCCTGTCCTGTGTCCATACTTGTGTGGTTCCTGGTGGACTCTGCAAGGACACGTTTTTATTGTTTGTGGCACACACTTCTCTGCAGGCAGGTGTAATGAATGTGTTTCTCAGGATAATGATTATGCCATGAGCAATCCCACTGTTTCAGAATCGAGCTGCTGCTTAATTATAATGTTTGGCTTATTCAGTTATAATGTTTGCAGTATCAAGGACATAATTGGAGTTTACCTCTTTCATAGCATCATCTATCTGTTTTAACCCCTCATAGTGGTCCCTGGATTCCCACAGAGGCTGGAGCATCACCTCCTCCACTTCTGGGAACAGCTAGGTGGGAACAAGAGAAAGACTATCAGCATTTCCTTCTGCATTCCTCAACTTGCTGCTGCATCATTTAACCGTACATGCTGGAAACAGGGTGTGAAAGGTACATCCCCATTTCCCTGGGTAACCAAACCCCTGGTGGGGCAAACACTGCAGCTCTGCTCTCCCCTGTCTGGCTTCTGGCCCTGGGTGACTTTACCTTGGTCACTGTCTCGAACATGGGGATGAGGACAAACTTGAGGAAGCCGATCTGTGCCGTGGGTTTGGTCACTTTGTCGCGGTCCATGAATGGCGCCACCGGGAGCCCCTCGGACTTTTCTCGGTCACTCTGGAACAATCAGAGAAACATCCCAGAGATAAAAAACCCAGAGATAACAAACCCAGAGATAACAAATATTAATCCTGCCTAGCAGGCTGTGAGGAGAGTGATGCAGCAAGCAGATGAGCAGCCCTCAGATGCAGATCACAGAGGTGTCTGTAGACAGCACAGAACAGGGATGTGCTGCCCTCAGGGCAATGTCTCTGCTTTGTGGAGAGCAGCATCTGAATGAAGAGAATTCTGTTCAGTTATTTCTGCTCAGCACCAGCATCAAAGTGTTCACCTCCAGGCTTGCAGGGTGGCTGGCTCCCTTTGCAAACCCACTGGACTTGTGAGGTAAAATATTTCAGAGCATTCAGAAAGCTGGTAATGGCCCTTGCTGCTCTGAAAGAGATGGAATAGTTCTGTGATTTCCTCATTGTTCCCCAGAGAGTGATTATTTTCAAACAGAAATTTTATCTCATTCTTTACTAATGATTAGAAGAGAAAATCAGTTGCATTCACTTGCTTACTGAGCTGGTTCTTTTGCTGGCATCCTTCTCTGACTTTGTGTAATAGAAGCTTTGCATGGAATCACAGAATGGTTTGGATTGGAAAGGATCTTAGAGATCATTCAGTTCCAACCCCCTGCCATGGGCAGGGAAACTTCCACTAAGCCAGAGAGTTCAGAGCTAGAACCAGACTGAGCTGTCAAACAGTGAAGCACCTGTGGGGTTTGGAAATAGCAGAAAATTGTGAAATTGTGCAATTGTAACTCTCCCTCTCTCTTACCTGCATAAAATACTCCTCCAGCAAGCAATCTACCCAGGGCTCTGCCACCTCCATCGGGCGGACTTCGTTGGAGATGTCACAGCATTTTATCAGCACCATCTTCAGCTGAAAGAGGAAAACAATTCAATGCTGCACTCCTAAAGCCAGCCCTTTCTCCCTTTCCACAACTCCTGTCCTTGCAATGCACTGGGAGCCAAAGCTTTCAACTAGAAAGGACAATTTCAGGATTTAACCAGAGGTCTTAAATGATCTGGATCCTTTTTCCCTCTCTCAGCTGCTCTGTGTAAATCACAGTGGGATGTGCATTTATCTGCTGCAGGAAGAGATTCAGTCACAAGTGACCATTAAGGTTTTTTGTGGAATGCTCAGAGGCAGCTGGGAAAAGATTTCCCTGGAAATCAAACACAGCTGCACTGGGGAATAGAGGAGACTAGAGGTTTTACTCTTATGGAATTTTTTTACCCCACAGTAAAGGATGGTAAGAATTTGTGGCCTAATAGAGTAATTTTTTTTTTAAATTTTCCTGATGAAACTCCAGGATTCCTAAAGCTGGAAAAATCTATTTAATATAGAGCACTTCCAAACTGTAATTATTTTTTGGTGTGGGATGGATTATTTTTTGATAATACATATTGAATCACAGTTTTTCAACAGACAAAAGTTAATCTACAAGCTTTCACTCCACGCACAGAAAAATAACAACCCACAAAACCTCCTTACACAGGTCATGTGTTCTTCATTTGTGTAATCAAAGTTTTCCATTTTTTCCTTGAAAGAGTCCAGTATTTCTGCATGTCTCGCCATGTCTGTAGCCAGGATTAACGTAATTATCCCCTAGAAAAGAAAACATGGTCACATATTAACTTGACATTCCTTACAAGGTGTGCTAAAGCCAAGCAGGGCCTGTCTTGCACATAAAATGCCTCAGATGCACTGAATTGCTCATGCTGGAAGGGGAAGTTTCTGACTTGGAACTGCCAAGGAAATAGGAAGAGGGTTATAAGGAGCTCGTGGTACATGAGGATCATGGTTTTATGTGATATTCCAGAGACACTGAGGTTTTTCCTTTCTCATTGACTAATTGTAGAAAAGTAAACTGTACAGCAGGATGTTGAAAGCCACACTGTGGCTGCCAGGATCCACTTTCCTCTCCTTGGAAGGCACTGTGGGTTTTGCTGCTGACTCGTAGAGGCCCTGAGACAGAAATCATGATGTGGATGCCAGCTGTGCCCATCCTTTTTGGATTAAGGGCTTTGAAACATTTGGATGAGGACAGGGAGCTCTGTATCCTCCTTCTGTGCAGAATTTATGATGGGAAAACATGTGGTTAATTAAAATTTGTGGGTTTTCATACAGAACAGTCCATTTTGGGCCCGTGCCAGTTTCCCACACACTGACAGAACCAGGAACTCCAACCAGCCCTTATACTGCTTCGTCACTCAGGGTGTAAGGAAGGTGTAATGTGGAAATTAAGACTGAATTTTGGCCCTTAGAGCCCTGATGGGAATTGTAACATTGTTCAGTGCCTCAGAGATAACTGTGATGACTCCCAGTGCACGAGGGCCTCTTCCAACAGTATAAGTGCTCTGCTGCTGCAAATCTTTCCCCTTTTGAAGCCCCTCTTAAAATTAATACAGTGTTCCTGTAAAGCACAAACTTCTGCCCTGAGAGCTTAATCCTTCTCCAGTCAGAGCTAATTGGCTTCTCCAACAATCTAAACATCTACCCTCAAAATGTCTTAGGCTTTAATAGTCAGGATGCACTCATTATTCCTCAGCAACTCATTCCAGGGAGTGCTGCTGTGGAAATTTTCCAAGAATCCCTCTCAGATCCTGTCACTGAGATATTTTCTGAAAAATCCCTTCACCAGGATTTCTTCTCCTGACAAGGTGAGAGGCCTCAGCTTCTCCATGTTTTCCTCCTCTGAAATGTGATTTGAAGAATTGTTTACCCAGCATGTGAATTGTTTTTAATTAATGGCAAATCACAGCCAGCTGTGTCAAACTCTCTGAGTCTGTCATGAGTTTTTATTATTCATTCTTTGCTAGCCTTCTGATGTCTCCTTTCTCTTTCTTTAGAATAGTTTTAGTATGTCATTTTAATATAATATAATATAATATAATATAATATAATATAATATAATAATAAATTATTCTATAATATAAATATATAAAATTATAAAATAATAGAAAAATAATAGTTATATAATATATAAATAAATAATATATAAATAGTAAAATTATATAAAAATATAAATATAATTAATATTATAAAAATATTATATAAATATAATATCAATATAATGTAATGTAATGTAACTGTAATGCAATGTAATGTAAATGTAATGTAAATATAATATAATATAATATAATATAATATAATATAATATAATATAATATAATATAATACAATATAATATATCAACCATCTAAGAACTTGGAGTCAGATTCTAACTTCTCACCTCATCCTGGGGACCCTCACAACACCACAACAAGATCCTCCCAAGTGTGAGGGGCTTTTTCAGCCCTGCCCTCCAGGGAGGACAAATCCCTCCCATTGCAGAACAGGGAATTCTGTGCACGTTTATAACCTCAGAAATGGAGTGTCCAGCATTCCTACCTGTCTGATCTGCTTGAACTGGTCCTGGTCCACGTTGGAGAAGATGTTGAACTCGGGCTGGGAGATGATCTGGAAGGCCACGGCACAGTGGTGGTTCTCCAGCGGGGAGATGTCGTTGTAGCGCACGGCCAGCTCCGTCCGCGCGTTGATCTGGTACCTGAGGGCAGGGACTCCCTGAGCAAAACCTCCCCAGACATCCCCCAGCTGCTCCCAACCACCTGCTTGCACTCTGTTCTGTGCTTATTCAATGAGCTGCAGCTTTGGGGTTTTTTGGGTTGTTAGTATGAAGTCAGATTTTCACAGAAAATAGATATTTAATATAATCTGAGGCATTGATTCCCTTCAGTGGGTGAATACCAATAAAGATTATAATATAAAAAATATATTATAAAATAAAATTATAAATATATAATATATAATATATAATATATTCTATATAATATATTATATATAATATATTATATGTTCTATATTATATATTATATATTATATATTATATATTATATATTATATATTATATATTATATATTATATCTCATATATTATATTTAAAATACATATAATATAAATATAATATATAAAATAATATATAAAATGCCAAAATACCAATACAAAAAAAAAAAAAAACCCAAAAGGTTTTTATTCCTTTTGAAAATTTTGCCACATTTCTAGTTTAAAATGTCTAGTTTAAGTTTCTAGTTTAATATTCTGCCACGTTTCTGGTTTAAAATGATGTAGAACAAAACCAGAAGGAACTGGTTTTGGTTTTTTTTGATTTTGAACAAATCAAAAACTGTTTTGATTTTTTTTCCCCCTCTAAAAAACCATCTAAACTGGTTTTTTTGTTTTGATGTAGAACAAAACCAGAATTGAACTGTTTAATTCAACCCCTACTAATGGCAGATGCAGAGATTCTCACTGATCCCAGTCAGAACTGGGTTCTGCCCTTATTTATTGAGTGGTTACAAATAAATCAGATTCTCTCTCTTTCACATGCACAAAGAAGTGTCTCTGGGTCAACAGCAATAATTTCCTCACATGAAAATAAACAGAGTAAAGTACATTTCCTGATTTATAATTATGAAATAAAGTGTAAGCTAAATCCCTCTTTGGATTTTAGTGTAATTATTCCATGATAATAATTTATAGCTCTGTTACCAGCTGTAAAGTATTTCACCTTGTTTTCTCAGGAGTTAGGGGGGAAAGTGTTTGAATAGAAATCTGAAAAAAAACCATTTTCCTTACAGAACCAAGGACAGCTGGCCAACCCCAACCCAAACCTGAGCTCTGCTTTGGCCCACGTGAGTGACCAGCAGTGGGAAAAGGTCAGGCTGTGAGGAGGAAAACCTGATCTACCAAAAATTGACAACCTTTCAATTGTTACCTTCCCAAGAGATTTTAATTGAAGATAAAGCAAGAGAACAGACTCACGTGTTGTTATAGCCTGGATGGTCCAAGTCATGGCACACTGCTGCAGTCATGAGAATCAAAATGTCAATTTGGGAAAATTTCTCCTGTAAAATACAAAACATGAATGTAGTATTGTGATTTCTACTTCCCCTATCTCTGTAAATCAAAAGAAATAAAGAAACCAGACGTATTTACTTTTTAGAGAAATGCAAATCTGAGCAAAACGAAGCATTTTTCCTTAGAGGAGTTTACTTCAGTCAAGAGAGAGAAATCTGCCTTCCCTTCCAGTAAAAGTGACTCAGATTTGCCTTTGTTGCATGAAATAACAGCAGCTCAGAGGAGGCAATTTCCTTGAAACTTGCTATTACTGCAGAGATGATATAAAAGCTCTGAGACATCAGTACAGTCTCTTAGAAGTCATTTGAGTACCCTAATTAGGTAAAGGGGGGGCTGGAAGATGGCTCTGTTGCCCCTGCATTCTGCATTAAATAAAGTTAGGAAAAGAGCAAGAAAAACGAAATAGTGTGTTCCCACAGCTTTTAAACAGCATGGACTTACATTAAAGCAAATTTTGCTTCATACTGCTAATGGCAAGAAAACAGAATGAGGCCAGTAACTGGTATGTGTAACTATAGAGAAAAAAGGAGGTTTTTTAAGTGAAAAAAAGCAGTTTTGTAAAGAAATTAAATGAATATATAAGTCCAGGTTATCCAGAGAGTGAAATTAATTGATTCATATAGTTTTGGACAAAATAAAGGTCAAATGTGTGTCCTGCATATAATACGTGCCAGGCTACAGGACAAGTACAGATAAAAGCACACATTTGGAGAAAACCTCACGTAGGAACATTTTGTGTCCCAAACAAAGAATAAACCCACAGACCATAACTCAGCAGGGGTTTGTCTCTCATTCCTAAATGTTTCACTCCATCAGAGTACAAACTGTGGACATCCAGGAGGTGAAATTACCTCCCCAGCAGCCTCAGAAAGCTGTGCAGATGCTGGGGGTCAGGAATGGAAATGCAACACCTCTCCTTGTGTGCCTGTGTGTCAGATTAAGTTAAGATTATCCCTAGAGATGGGGTACCTGAGAAGTGTTTAAAAAAACTTTTATTCTCTCTTCAATTTCACGTGAATGAAACAATACAGATGTTATAATTCACACCATCACCATCACCATCTTGTCCTCCATCTTCTGCTGTGATAGTGGCACTTTTGGATTGGTTTAAAGTAGAGACAGACTGTCTAACATAGGTGACAGGTATTGTAAAATTATTGTAAATAAAGAACATGTAGTTTTTAGTATAAAAAGATGTCAGAATTCAGGACATCCCTCTGGCTGTCCTGGATTGCTTGAACCCCTGCCACGGGGCTCAGAGACCTTGGCACAGAGCCCAAAACACCTGTGACTTTGAGTATGACCCATGGAAAAAATTATCAACCTTATATGAGGATCTGCAAGCCACGAAAGGCTAAGTGGAATAACAGTTAGTTTGTCACAGGGTGAAAAATAGATTGTTGGGGTTTTTAGAATGGGGATTCAGGAGGCAAGATGGAGGAACCTGGCCGTGTCCAGACTTTCTCCTTCTTCTTGGCCTCCATCTTCTGCTGTGATGTTGGCACTTACAGATTGGTTTAGAGTAGAAGCTCACTGTCTAACATAGGTGATAGGTATTGGGAAGTTATTGTAAATATTGTACACGTAGTTTTTAGTATAAAAAGAGAACATCACCCCAAGGCAGTCAGTGTGCCATGAACCAACCTGCTGGACAGATCTCAGCAGGTTGGAGAAAGAATGTGATAGATAACAGAAATAAACAACCTTGAGAACCAGAGCCAAGGAATTCTGCCTTCTTCTTCCATCTCAGGGCTGGGAAAAAGAGACTTTCTAACACCTCGGGGTCATCTCAACACCAGAGCCCTCATAAAGCCACGGAGAGGCTGTACCTGGAGGCTGCAGAGCGAGATCATGCTGTACATCATCTGGGTGACGCAGAAGCAGTGCCGGAAATTGTGGAAGGGGTTGTTCCTGTAATTGTCGTGGATGCACAGCTGCAGAGAGAGGGAATGGAGCTGTCAGAGGTGGCAGAGCTGTTTGCCAAGCACTGGAAATCCTTAAAGGAGTCCTATAGTGAAATAGGAATCTCCTCAAGCCAGGTCTTATGAGTCCTTGGAGATCACACCCGAGATAGCTCAGCTACCTCAGATGGCATAAAATCAGCAGGATGGCTTCTGTGGTAGTGTTGGAAACAGAGAGATTTTAATAAAAGACAAAATAACAAAGCTCTTTACAGAGAAAAACAGAGCCAGGTGGAAGAAGCTCTTGCTCCTGGTAAAACACCTCACAAAAGCCATCAGTTTCTTTGTTCTCTTCTTTTTCTAGTAAATTGTTAGGGTCAGACTTTTTGGCTCCTGTCCAATTGGATATCCTTAAGTTTGAGGTGAAGTCCCCCAAGTCCTATGAGGTGTCTTTTTATCTAATTGAGGAAAAAAACTTCTGGGCTCTTTTCCTTTCTGAGGAGACAAAGGATAGTTTTGTCACTCATCAAGAAGGAGCATATTCCTATACTGTGGGGCCCCAGGATTATTCTCTGCTAGGACAGAGTGACAGCACAGGGCCTCTGACACTTTCTGCCTTCCTGGGTGCCATTTGTGTTATAATACATACTATTATATTGACTTTTTGAAAATATTAAAATAAATTCTATATGTGTGGTGTTAAAGTAACTTAGTTATAAAGATATAGCTTTTATTTCTGTTGTTAATTAAGCTTAGACATAGTAGTGAAATAGCTGATGTAAGTATGAAATAGTGATGAAATAGTGAAATAGAGATGTAAGTATGCTTGTGTTAAAATGCCTGCTTGGATGGGATAACACCCAATGAACACAGGATGGGGACACCTGTACAGATATTCCAATTATCAGCACTCACTGTCTGAAGACAGTGTGGACCAAGGCCCAAAAACTGGAGGTGTAAAAAAGGACTAAAACCACAGCCAAGGAATGAGCATGCTTTAAAAAGGTGGATCCCAAGCAGGAGATGTGCTAAACAATTCTCAGAACGTGTAAACTAGTTTGGGGGAATGTTTACCATGCATAAGGGCTTATGAATATGCAAAGGAATGATGTAATTAAAAGGTATTTAAGGGGTATCCCCAAGATAACAGTGTGCTCTTAGCTGAGTGCCAAGATGCACCCAGCCATAACAACCTTTGCTCCATGGTCCTTGTCTCCTATTGTCCTTTATTAAACTTTTAAATTTTCACAGGCAAGTGAAGGTGTTTTTCACATTTGTGTGTTCCAAGAATTCACCAGCAGGTAAAGCTCACAGAAAATCCCCTCTCATGCCAGCCAGCAATGGGCAAACATCCCAGCACAGCTGCATCTCTGTCCTCTGCTCTCATCCTGAATTTGTGTTTCAAACCTTGCAGTGGCTAAAGGGGGACTGCAAAGGGCTCAGAGCTCACCCCTGTCCCCCTCTCCTGCTGAATGCAAACTGCAGCTCTGATACCTTGAGGGCTGAAATGTGGCTGTCATGTCATTTCCCAGTGCTCAGGGGTGACACTTTGGGATGTGTTGCTTGGCACAGGGAGGATGTGAATGCACACCAGGCTGGAGCACACCTGGGTGGGTTTTCTATGTTGGGTTTCTATGTTTCTGTTTTGGATTTTCTTTTCTGTCAGCCTGGCAGAGATTGAGCTGTCATGAGTCATTGTTGTGTGGTTTAACTTTCTACAGATCCTGGCTTGGTTGCCCTTGTTCCACAGGCAGGACAAAGCCTGTCTGTCCCTGTGTCCTGGCTGGTGCCAGGCTGGCAGAGGGAGGCTGGCACAGCTGGTCATTGACATGTGCCATGGTCATTATTCCAATGCTGCTCTGGTTTTCTGTCCCTCACAGAGCAGCCAAGAGTCAGCAGCACTGCTGGACCCTTCTGCTGAATCCTCCTCCAAAGCCTGGAGAGCCCCCAGAGCTTCAGTTACTGAGCCTGAATTAATGACATGCACAGAATTCCAGCTAAATCAGGAATTTACTTCAGGAGCCCTCACACCCCATCAGGATCAAACACCTCAACCCATCACCTGACTTCCAGGAGACCTCAAAGCTCTGGATGAGGTCAAGAGAAGTGTGGTATTTTCAATGTTTATTCAATATTTGTGTGTTCCATTGCAAAAGCTGCACAGATCATTCTGCAGCAAGGATTTTAGAAACACATTTAATTTTTTTAAAATTACCTAGGAATGGCATGATATGGTTGTCAGCTATCCCACAGCCTACACATGGCACTGCCCAAAGCTGCATGGGTGTAATGTGCACATCCAGCTCTGGAGCCCAGAGCATCCCAAGGCACTCCTGACTCAGGAGGGATGGAGTGACTGGGTTGCATTAATCATTCCTTCCTCCTCTTTCTGGAAGACTTCTGTAGCCAGTGGATGTGGGAGAAGCCAGAGGTGGCTTTTTCTCTCCCACTTGATTTCAAAGTTATTTTTGTTTGATGTTTGGGAGGAATGATGAAGAGGATTTTATTTTATTACAAGGTTAATTACTATATATGATATTATATATTATATTATATTATATTATGTTATATTATATTATATTATATTAATTGAATTTGTTAAATATTTAATTGTATTTTATTGTATATTAATATGTGATTGTTGACAGTTTTGATATACATATATATGTATTTAATTGGTTAGTGAAGTAAAATACACTAGAATTTAATTATTAATTAATTAAATTATTAATTAATTTCATTATTAATTTTTTTAGCTAAATAATTTTTATAATGTATTTTACTTGTAAACAAACACAGGTGCAGCAAATGAGATAAGAATTGTTTGTTTGGGGGTTTTTGAGGTTTAGAGAATATGAATTTTAGAAATGTTTTGGGAAGCTGTGCTTTGCTTTTTTCTGTGAAGAGAAATGTGGTGACACAAAGTGATGCCCACACTGGGCCACTTTGGAGCAGAGCACTTGAGGCTTTCAAAAATCATTTTTGTTTCTTCAAGAAGATGGGAGACCTCACCCTGCCTTAACTTTGTAGAAAATACACAACAAATTCCCTTTTGTTGCTCAGAGTGAGGCTGAAATGCTAGTGGTGACAAATTGCCTGGAGACACAGCTCGGGGAAGCTGCCTGCAGCAGGGTGTGGGTGGGCTGTTGGTGTGTGTTGACATATCACCTTGCTTCCCATGTTTTTGGGCTGTGAAACAGGAGGAGGAGGAGATCTTCAGCTTCATCTACTCTGTGTTACCCTTGTTTGTGTTGGAATTCATCCCACCCCTTGTCTTCAGCTGCTTTATAGGGTCAACACCACCCAGCTTTTTCCTTTACCTTCTTCAGAGGGAGAGATTTACCAGATTTTGATAATTTTTGGTGCCTCCTTTAATGCAGTCAATATTATTTTTCTAAAAAGGCTTCACCAGTGCTGGGAATAAATTTCAGGTGAGCCTCCTGCCTTGTGTGGTGACATTTTATCCTTTATTCCAGGCTCTGCTCAGCCTTGTGTCCCTCCTGCAGCAGGACAGTCAGCAGTGACAACCCCATGTGCCTCCTGTTGTGCTGTAACACCCAGACCTAGCCTTTTCTTTGTCCTTTCCAGCTACCTCCTGATTTTATAACATTTTTAGGAGTCTACATCCATCTAAAACAGTGCCCTCAGGGAACTGGAAGAGATTAATGAGGTATAAGTCTTTATTTTATAAAACATCTGTATGATGAATTCACACCATGATGTTTTTCATTATTGTCTCAATCCATTTGTGAGACACAGAGGAAAGTTTTTACTAGTTATAATTCCTCAGGCCATCCCTGGATGCTTTTTAAACAATGGTTAAAATATTTACTGGTTTGCAGTTCTCTAGGAACATGATGGGTTTTTTCCAAGAAAGCAAATATATTCTTCAGCTTTTCAGCAAACACTTTCTTTTGCTCTCCCTTGGACCTGAAAACTCATTGCTTTTTAAAATATTCCAGTGTTTCTCCCTCAGCCATCTCACTTTTGGCATGATCTCATCTTTCTCACATTTTGCATCTCTGCAACATTCTCACATCAAAGACTGAAGCACAGAAAGTTACCTTATCAGCAATTCCTTTTCCTTCCTGACTTGCTCTTTCCTCTGCTCCCTGTGATTTAGTCTTTTGAATGATTATTGCACTTTCTAGCTATATCTGAAGGCACTTGTCTTGCCTTCATTTACAGTAGGTATCAAGAGCATTCAGCAGAAATGAACTGCTTTCAGTAATGGAAACCTCAGTAAATGCATGCAAAACAGTTTAAAAAGACTCATTTGTGACCACAAGAATGCAAACATTTTCTGAAGTGTTTAAATTTTAAGAATTTGTATAGACTGGCTGCTTTCATTGGGATTACTCATGCCAGTCATGTTAATGCCATGACTAAATGCCTTGTTTATTGATTCTTGAATGTGAAAAACTGCAAACACCAGTAACTAGAAATACTCACCAGCCACCTCTTCAGGGTGATGGGATTGATGTTGAAGTCTTTTACCAGCCCAAGGTCGTGGTACATGTGCTCCAAGCAGCTCAGCATCTGCAGCCGGGAACAGGCAGGTTATGGTTGGCTCTGTAAACACCCCTTGAGGACACCCTGTAAAGTGAATTCCCCCTTGCCAGCATCAAATAATTGCAGAGCCCTCTTTAGATGAAAGAAAGATGTTCAAAGGCTGCATGATTAAAGTGCAAGAGGGGAGGCAGAGAGGGCTGGAAGCTTTTTGAAGCAGGCAGGCTGCTGTTGACTTCACAGGTTTTGTGCAGGGCTTTGAATGTCACACCAGCCCTCTTCAGTGACTGTGATTTGTGTGTATCACAGCAATTCCTGCTCACAAATAAAGCATTGCCATTCTTCTAGTTCAGCTGGGATGTGAACTATTGCTCAGTGAAACCAGTGGGAGCTTCTCCCTGGCTGCACAGAAATGGATCAGGCTCCAGCAGAACAGAAAATGACAGCAGAAAATAAGAGATCCCTGAAGAAACATTTATTTCACACATTTGACAATACTTTCATTCTTTATGACTTCTTGTGAGCTCCTAACTCCACTGTCTTACCTCACATTTCTTGTTTAAAAGATTTCCCATTATAACCCCACGAAATTGCAGCAGTTTTGTGATTATCCCCTCATGGAGACTGTAACTATGAATCCCTACAGCTGAAATGCAGGCACAGGCAGCTCTTCTGAGACAACATCTGCTCTGCAGCAGCAAGGGGAATTCAGGTAATTTAGCACCTCCCCTCATGTTTAATCATCTGGGTTTGAAAGAATTGAAAACAGAAGATATTGATAATCTCAAAGAATTGAAAGCAAAAAATATTGATAATCTCAAAGAACTGATAACAAAAGATACTGATAATCTCAAAGAATTTAAATCAAAAAATATTGATAACCTTAAAGAATTGAAAACAAAATATATTGATAATCTCTAGATATTGATAATCTGAAAGAATTGAAAACACAAAATACTGATAATCTGAAAGAATTGAAAACAAAAGATAATAATCTCAAAGAATTGAAAAAAAATAATGATAATTCAAAGAATTGAAAACAAAAGATATTGATAATCTCAAAGAACTGAAAACAAAAGATATTGATAATCTCCAGATATTGATAATCGAAAAGAATTGAAAATAAAAGATATTGATAATCTCAATCTAACAGCTTCCACCAGTCAGACATTAACAGGTTTCCTGGAGTTCAGGAGTTAATGTATAAATGCATTCCCATTTCTGAAGGCCCAATCTGCAGGGGATGGAATGTGGCCATTGTGTTAGAAAATGCAGTTTTTAGACTGTAAAACAAACCAGGGGTTTCAACATAAGGGGTATAATGTCACAAATACAGCCCTGGGGGTATTTCTAGTTAGTTTTCTGTTATTTAGGCTCTTAGAAACTCACCAGAAAAAATGATTTAATCTAATGAAACTTTATATTTATCCAGGGAAATATAAATGTAAGTCATGGAGTAACAACAGGGCTGATTTTGAGTAATCCAAACAGGAGGAGACTTTCCTGCAAGGCCTGAGGGACAATGCCATGAGCTGAATGCTGCTCAGATCACAGGGACAGCATTTTGCTGAAAATCCCCTTGTCCTGGTAGAGTACATGTTTTGCAACATTTCCATAAAAGACTTTCCAAGACAAGAAACTTTACCCAGAAGTGCTGAATTAGAAATGCAGCTGTTGCCAAGAGAGCTTTGGGTGAGCGAGGAGGAGACTCTCAGTCCCAAAACTCCCCTGAACACAGGGGAATCTCAGTTTTCATGTGCAGCTTTCTTGGTCAGCAGCAAAATCTTGGAAATGGGACTCTTGTAAGGCTTGAAAAGGGAGAGGGCATTTGAGAAGGAGGAGCCAGGCTTGTTGCAAAGCTGTGTTTGCTGAGATGTTTGTCTTGAGTGAGATTTGCTACTACTTGTTAAATCTGGTTTTACATTATATGATAAACTGGTTTTATACATTATATTATATTATAGATCTGGTTTTACACTATATTTTAAGCTGTCCACTCTAAACATCCTCTCCTTCACGCTTCTGGAGGTTTACGCATAGAACCTTCCAGAACCTTCTGCAGTACAAGTGATGAACCATGAATAACACTAATAGCAGTTAAAAAAGGAAGAAAATTAGCAGTTAAAAAAGAAAGAAAATTAAGTAATTTGGATGATTGCTGCTGGGGATGCTGCCAGAGCTACCCAAGCCTTTCTCTGGTTTAAAAAACCAGCACTAAACCCCTGGTTTAGTCCAGTCCTCCATTATGTTTTTCTTGAGTGAGATTTGTTAGTAGTTGCTAAATCTGGTTTTACATTATATTATAAGCTGTTTTTTATACATTATATTATATATATCTGGTTTTACATTATATTATAAGCCATCCTCTCTTAACGTCCTTCTCCTTTATGCTTCTGGAGGTTTACACATAGAACCTTCCAGAACCTTCTGCAGTACAAGTAATGAACCATGAATAACACTAATAGTAGTTAAAAAAGGAAGACAATTAAGTAATTTGGGTGATTGCTGCTGGGGGTGCTGCCAGAGCTACCCAAGCCATACCCTGGTTTAAAAAAACAGCACTAAACCCCTGGTTTAGTCCTGTCCTCCATTATGTTTTTATTGAGTGAGATTTGCTAGTAGTTGCTAAATCTGGTTTTACATTATATTATAAACTGGTTTTATACATTATTTTATATATCTCTGGTTTTATATTATATTATAAGCTGGTTTTATACTTTATATTTTATATATATATCTGTTTTTAGTTTATATTATAAGCCATCCACTCTTAACATCCTTCTCCTTCAGGCTTCTGGAGGTTTACACATAGAACCTTCCAGAATCTTCTGCAGTACAAATGATGAACCATGAATAACACTAATAGCAGTTAAAAAAAGAAAAAATTAAGTAATTTTTTTGATTGCTGCTGGGCATGCTGCCAGAGCTACCCAAGCCTTTCCTTGGTTTAAAAAACCAGCACTAAACCCCTGGTTTACTCCTGTCCTCCATTATGTTTTTATTGAGTGAGATTTGCTAGTATTGCTAAATCTGGTTTTACATTATAGTATAAGCTGGTTTTATACACTGTATTATATATATCTGGTTTTACATTATATTATAAGCTGTCCACTCTTAACATCCTTCTGCTTCACGCTTCTGGAGCTTTACACATAGAACCTTCCAGAACCTTCTGCAGTACAAGGTACAAGTGATGAACCATGAATAACACTAATAGAAGTTTAAAAAGGAAGAAAATTAAGCAATAAGGAGATACTAATTGGCTTTGAATGCAGCTCTGCAACCTCTTCAGAACAAGCTGCAGAAAAAACCCTCAGCTGAAGGGTGTGAATCAATGCCTGCACCTCTGCCCTGCTGCTTTATTGATCTGAGTGGAGTTATTGATGATGTGCTTAAGCACACACTTCACTGAGGATCGATTTGTTCAGATAAAATGGCATGGGAGAACTCATGTGGCAGTAATGACAGTGCACCAGTTGAGGGACTTTACTAGGAAGAGATTAAAGAGTAAATAAAGAGGGGCCAGGATATGATAAGCAGCATCATCTACCTGGCATCTGCTAGGAAGGAGCACTGCATTTCTGGTTTGGTATGGAAATGAAAAAAATATTGAGAATAAGTGGCAGAAAAGGGGGGAAAACCCTGCAGACTGTCTCAAAGGGTTCTTCTGGCCTTTTTGGCTCTCAGAATGTGCCAACCCTGCCAACCTGGCATCCTCACCTCGTTGGGCTCCCACAGCCACACGTCAAAAGTCGGTTTCCGCAGAGCCTCGATGGTCTCCTGGGACAGCATGTACTGCAGAGAGAAGGGCAGGAGGGTAAACAAGGGTATCCCTGCCATGGGAATGCTGCTGGCATGTCCTTGGGGTTCCCAGGGCTCCACTCATGAGGGATTTAGCCACATTTCCCAAGGAGAGAGCAAATGATCTCTCCCTCTGGCCACCCAACCTTCCTCACCCTTCCAGCCAGCTAGCAGCTGCTCATTGGGGCAGATCCTTGTGGGGCAGAACTGGGAGAAAAGGGACAGTGGAGGTGTTTAGGAGAGGGTCATGGCTAAATCCAGCACAGAAAATCAAAGGCACAGGGCACAGACCCATCCCTGCACTGGTTCTGCTGCCTGCAGAGCATCAGCAGCACTCGAAGCTGCCAGTTGGGGAGGGTGGTGTGAAGTGTCTCTGCTTACAGTGCTAAATTAGCTGGTGGGGATGATATGTTTATTTTCAGATGATTTATGCTCTCATTTTGAGTGTTTTTTCAAGAGTGCCCACAGTTTCAAATTGGTTGTCAGCCTGCAAGATTCAAGTGATTTTTTATCATTACACTCAAAGCCTAAAACAAAATCAAGCTCATTCACCAGTTATGGCTGCATAGAAAATGAAAAGAAAAGGAATGTGCAGGGTTAAAAGACATGGGGATATTAGGATTCTACAGATTCATCTTTTCAGGATGCAATGCATCAGTGGTTTTGGGACTCAAAGCCCTTGTGGCTTCAATTGGCCCATTTACCATGGCTGTCTCTAATCTGGGTTTACTCTCCTGAGCAGGTGAATGACAATTTCTGAGCCATCAAATTGATAATTTATCCAAGGAGGATAAATTATATGGATAATTTATCCAAGGAGGATAACAACACAGAAGATTTTCTTCTTCAAAAAGTGAGGAGTTTTGCATTTGCCCACACAATGCACATTTAGTGCGACTTTCTGCAAGAAAACTACAAATTAGCAGTACAAATTTGGTTTTGCAATGACATCTTCCTTCAGCCTCACTGACATTGGACAAATCCAGCACCTGACAACTGATAACAAATTTCGCAAATCTCCAAAACCCCAAACTCCCATGAGTTTCGCCCTAGGAATAATGCAGAAATACAAAAGTTTACTCTGCAGTGGTTCAGTGCAACTCCTTATTCTTAATTCAAGATCCTAATGCAGCAGTCCATCAAAGTTTAATCTGACATATATACTTATCAAGGGAAAAAAAACTGGCTTAGAAATTATGTGTTCTGTGAAATAATGTGTTAGTGTCAGGAGCACAAGCCTCCTGGGCAAAAGTTAACCAAAAGAAATAGAAGTGCCAGAGTCTGTGCTTCAGTGGAGGTCACTTCAGCGAGGCAGAGCAGAACAAAGAGCAGAATTTATTGCTCTGCTGGGCTCTGAGGACAAATGTGCACAGAGCCACGTCCACGTCACGGATCTGCATCACACAGGACTGTGAGGATTCAGCTTTGGTGTGTGTGAGGAGATGCTCATGGTTAAACCATCATTTGCAAATGGGTGAGCTGGTGTTTTGTCAAAGTCTGAGCTGGGCACTGGGCAGGCATAACCAGACAGCTTTAAATAATTCTTGTGGGCAAAGACTGCAAGTTCTGGGATTCAAACCCCGTGCTCTTCATGGTTTCAGCCTCATTCACCACTGTGGATTTGTAGTTGTGCTTGCCCAGGAGACATTTTTCTTCCAGCATTACTGTTTTCTCTAGCAAATACACTAACTCATTTTCACAGGGACAATGAATCATTTTGGAGAGAATCCAATGTCGCATTTTGTCTTTGTTTCCCTAGGTGAAGCATCCCCATAAATTACTTTTTAAATTAAAAAATAATCTATTAGGAGAAAACAGGCAGCAGCACTACTTTCAATCAGAACACAGCATTACAGGGTGTTTTTGATTGTTGCTATGAGCGTGGAGAATAAACAAATATAACTAGACAAAAGAGTGTTAAATGTTGATGAATGCACAATGTTCATTAACATTTCAAGCACTAACGAGCTTTCAAGTATTAAAGACTACTGAGAATTAAACTTTAAGTCACCATGGGCAACTGATGGCTTTTTCCATTGGCATTTTGGATCAGATCTTGGATTTAGAATAACAGGGAATTAATGGCTAAGGAGTCACACATTGTAAAGCAGCACTTGTCAGGATGGCAGGAATATGGGAAGAGAAAATTGTGTGGTACCTTCGGGTAGGATGGTACATCCCTCCGTGGAGCTGGCCTCTTGTTTTCATCCAAAAAGCTGTACTTGCAGGGACAGTTAGTCCTGAAATGAAATATTCCTCTCTTAACATTGAGGGAACACAAGCACAGTGCCTCAGTGGCCACCCCTCAGAGAACCATCCTGCTCCAACACCTCTCCCTTTCTAATGCAGTATTGTCCAAAATGCTTTGGAAGTGTGATCCTCCTCAGGATTTTCTCCCCTTGTGCAACACCCCTGCTGCCCTTTCTTGGTCTATTTGCATTCAAGAGAGAAGGATCTGAGTTCAGGCATGTGTCCATGGATACCTGTTCCAGATTGCAAGGCAAGATATATTCTATTTGCCATCTGTATGGCAGTTGTCTTTGGTCAAGTGGGCACTTTGCCTTATCTCTTCCACACCCAATCTGCCCTCGGGAGGAGACACATGCTGATAAGAGACTATTGAATCTCACTGCATGACTGATAAGAACTACAGCATCCCATTGGGAGATGTGAGCCCAGAGGGAGGAGCCAAGCATTCCTAACTGGATATAATCTGGAGATTCTGGAACACCAGCACGGCTTTCTCCACTGCATTCCCAGAGGAACAGCAGCTGCCTCTTTTTCCACTGGATCTTCAGAGGAAGAATACATCCTTCTCTACAGGATTCCTGCTCCAGACACTGACACTCCAGGGGGGCTGCAGCCACAATTCCAATGGGACTGCTGCCAACACTCTGACCCACAGGGTGTCAGGTTGTGTTCTGACTGTCAGTGTTGGTTTAGTTTACTGCACTGTTTATTTTATCCTTTTATTTTCTTCCCTAGTAAAGAACTGTTATTTCCTGCTCCCATATTTGTTGCCTGAGAGCTCCTTACTTTAAAATTTATAGCAATTCAGAGGGAGGGGGGTTTACATTTTCCATTTCAGGGGAGGCTCCTGCCTTCCTTAGCAGACACCTGGCTTTCCAAACCAAGACAATACCCAACCACTTCTCCTTAGACTTCCAGTGAGCAGCTTGCTGTCCATGGCAGGCATCCTTCTCCAGAGCTGCACCACATTGGCTATGGTGATTTTATTCTATAAACCTGTGCTGATTCACTGTTGAGGGCACCCCCTGAGCCTTGCTGCAGCCCATGAGAACTTCCACTTTGATGCTGTGACCTCCTTGGCTGCTGCCCCTCACGTGGGACAACAGCAGAGAGGCACGGACTTGGCAGACACCTCTGCCTGGCTCCCTGATCCTGGAGAAAGGGAGCCACTGCCAGCAATTACAGGTAATCAACACTTGCCTTGTTATTAACACTGCCAGTTATCTATTCTTCTTTCCTCTGCACATGGAAAAGCCAAGCTGATGCTTTCCCCTCTGAGCAGAGGCCCAGGAGGGGCCTCATCACTCTGCAATTCCCTACTGAGGCTGCAGCCAGGGGAGGGTTGGGCTCTTCTCCAAAATGGCCTCAAACTGTGCCAGGGCAGGGACAGATTGGACATCAGGGAGAATTCCTTCATTGAAAAGGTGGTCAAGCATTGGAATGGGCTGTCCAGGGAGGTTTGGAGTGCCCATCTCTGGAATTGTCCAAGGAAGGCCTGGATGTGACACTCAGAGCTCTGGGCTGGGGACAAGGTGGGGACCAGGCCCAGCTTGGCCAAGATGGCCTTGCAGGGCTTTTCCCAGCTAGCTGTCCACATGGACTTTGTTAACTCTTGTGTGAGGCTGATCTTCTTGCATTTTGCATTTGTAGAGCCACGGAATGGTTTGGGTTGGAAGGGACCTTAAAAATCATCCAGGTCCACCCACGCTGCTGTGGGCAGGGTTGCTGCTCACTGGCTCAGGTTGCTCAGGGCTCCATCCAATCTGGCCTTGAGCACTTCCAGGGATTTATCCCTGGAGTCCTAACATTTGGATTATCCTCTCTCAGTTTTCAAGCTTCCTGCCAAAGGAAGCAGAAGTAAACCTCCCAAAAGAAGCCAAGCAAAGCATTCCATTAACTCAGTTTGTGCATTTTTGATTATTACATTTTGCATTGTATCTCTTCTAAATGATTCTCTCCTCTGTTGGGAATTAGTCCAGGTCTCTTTTCTCCTCTTAACATTCATGTCTGCTGTCATTTCTAATGGCAGTGTCAGAATCCTGTGAAAGTTATGTCATTTCACAGCTCATGGTGGTCAGTTGACATCAACCAGCTGCCTTCTCCTGCCCTGTTTAAAGAGATTCTCAGTTGATGAAAAGCTGTCTTAATCGTTTCTAAAGTCCTTTCCTCAAAACTCCACTGTGTGGGGTATTAGTAGGATAAAAATAGTGAGATTGGGGCATTCCTTGCCCTAATTGGAGCTGACTGCCAGGGTTAGCTGAGGGTCAGCCAGCTATCTCTAATTCCCAGTTGTAGTAGGATATTGAAGCCTTCATCCCAGCACACCGGGGAACACACCAGAGCCAGGATGCATCAGACCTTCACAAATGCAAAACTGGATCTGCAAATGCTCATGATTTTAAATGACACCATAATGCTATTAGCATCTGCCAGTGGTGAGTGCAAAAAGCAGACAAGCAAAAAAAAAAAAAGCAATTTGAGGAGGATGCAAATGGAGCTGCTTTGCTCTTCTGAACAGAGAGCTGCACAATTCTCTGTGCTTTTATAAACCTGGCTGCCCTGCCTTACTCTCTAATTTGATAATGTAACAGCAAATATAGGAAAAGGTAAACACCCATACAGCTGTGTACACTGTGATCTTACTGAAGGAATACAGGCACTCACAAATATTTATGTACATCAATTAAATTTACATGGGATCCCTAATTGCAAGCACAATGCATTATCTAGCAAATGACACAGCACAAGGGATGACAGGTCCAAATGAGAGCAAATAACATTTCCACTTCCCTGGGATGCCTCTGCTCCCACACACATCCCATGCCAGCAGGAGAGGGTTTGCTCAGCCTCCCTGGGGTCAAGCATCCCTAGGCTGGGGTGACCTGGGGCTCTGGTGGCTTGGGAATAAGGAACCTCAGCTCCTGATGGGAGCCACCAAGGAGCATCATCATCTCCTCAGACTTGTACCCACATCCAGCTGCTACTTTGGTTCCCACATCCACAGGGTGCAGATAATTCTGTGCAAGCAGGAGGAACCTCTGAACAGCTGGGAGGAGGGAGAGGCTGCTCAGGGTAACCAGGAGGAGCTGTGACAGAGCCACGTGGACACAGCACCAAGGTGATGCTGAGCAGAGCAAGCCCTGCTCCTGCTCCAGAGAGAGCAGCTGTGAGTGTGAGCCCAGAGCAAGCCAGGGTGGGTGTCTGTGCCCTGCTGAGCCCACTCCCATCTTTAGCACAGCTCCCCAGCCTCACACCCCGTGCTGCTCCCTCCTTTTGGAGCCTGTCACATCTCAGCACCAGCCCTCGGTGAAGGTGACACCCCAGCTGGAGCTGGCTGCACTGAGCAGATGGAGCACTCCCCATTCCAGCTTTTCTTGTTAACAGCTTGTTTAGACCACAAAATATAGATTGGAAGGTGACAGGATATGGGATGGGAATTAGTCATGGCTGCTGGGACAGTCTCATACTCCCTGATGTGCTGTGGTGGTGACTGAGTGAACGTGAACTTGTCATAACTTCTTTTTTTGGAGCTAATTCCCTGTCCACCTGTGCATCACTGCTCATCATCATCACTGTGCATCACAGTTCAGCTCTGCCAGCTCCCTGCCACAGCTGAGGCAGAGACACATGGGCACACACGTTCCTCACATCACACCCAGCACAAACCAGCACACATGCTCCTGCATTGGCTGCCAGCCTGGGCTTGGATTTTTCTAATGAGATTTCTCCACACACCCCAAAAAGAAATGATGCAAGTCACAGGGCAGACTGCATTCCACCCTGCTGAGGCACACAAATCTGAGGTTAATAATGTTACTCTGCTTTTATGCTAATATGACAGCTGAGTTTGGCCTTGGACTTCATGGCAATGAATTATCATTGTGCCTCCTGACATATCTGCATGGCAACATTTACAAAAACGAGTGATTATAAAGCCTGAATCTTTTAGCACATTTCCCACTGCCCTCAGTAGGAAACAGTTTTGATTAAGGGTCAGACAATTTGACCCCGAGGCTGTCAGGACAGCAAAGTTACATTTGCTGAGAAAAATCCCCTTCACCCCCATTTTGAGCAGCAGGGTATATTCCTCCCCAGAAAAATCCCCTTCACCCCCATTTTGAGCAGCAGGGTATATTCCTCTCCAGAAAAATCCCCTTCACCCCCATTTTGAGCAGCAGGGTATATTCCTCTCCAGAAAAATCCCCTTCACCCCCATTTTGAGCAGCAGGGTATATTCCTCTCCAGAAAAATCCCCTTCACCCCCATTTTGAGCAGCAGGGTATATTCCTCTCCTTCCCAGGAGTATTCCCAATCTCAGAGTGATTTGTTTGTCCTAGTGGGGCACTTTAGTGACACAGGGGGTGTTTTCCAGCTGAGACCACGCACCGTAGGAAATGCAATTTTTTCTGCTGCTGTTTTAATTACAGCAAAACCCAGCTCCACCATCACAATGAGCCTTTCATTAGAATGCAAATTCCCAATTTCTTGTTGAATTTGAAACGGGTGATTTATAATAGCATGAGATCATAATTAGAGGAGCTGCTACATATTTATTTGGTAATCTCCCAGAATATATTGGAGCTGATTCGAGTGCTAACTGGTTCCCAACCAAAAGCTGCAGTGTGCAGAAGCTCTTTTCCCATTCTCTCCCTCACTCTCCCAGTAAATCTGGATGAAGAATTCCCATTCTGTATGGTGACAAATAACTCCCAGGACCTTTTTCTCTATTCCCATGGCCCAAGCTAAATTAACTGGTGAATGGCTATAAATCTTCAAATACTAAATTAAAACCACTGTCATTGATGTTTATTGGTTTCCTTGCTCTTCTACTTCTAAGCCCAGGAGATAATTCTGAGTGGAAATGTTGCATGAGGGTTTGAAACCAGACACTCCCGTGGTTGGGTGCCAAGCAGAACTTACCTGCTGCTCCTTGCTGCCATTTCCTCCCTCATCTTTTTAATGTCACGCTTGCATTTCTCAATCTCCACCACCTTCAGGCCTTCCGCTGTCAATAAAGGGAAACAACAGGGCTGTCACCATGGCCAGAAGTTGCAGGGTCTGGTTTCACAATGGCGCAAAACTTCAGGGAGCTCTGCCAGTGGGGTTATCCAGCTCCCACAGGCTGCCTGGGCTCTCCCACGGGTGAGAGGCGCTGCCAAAGCAAGAGGAGACCCTGGAAACCCACAGGGATTCTCTGCTGCCAACGCAGATAACGCCTATAGAGCTTGGATTCACTCGATGGCTAAAACATCTCAGCTTCTGCACAGCAGCAGGCAGCTCCTCTGGTGCCTTCACTCCTGGGCTGCAGAGCAGGAATCAGAGGAAATCCTGAGCAGGAAAAAGCCCCACTCCCCTGATGGGATGATAAGCAGGGCTATGCAAACATGTCCCAGCAGGATTAGAATTCCCATTAAGATAAAAGGTTTTAATTCGGAAGTTCATGCAGAGCATTAAGGAGCTCTGGGAGGCATTGCTGGATACAGAAAAACCAAAGTGAGAATGCAGGGGGGAAAGAAAAATGTTGAAAACTCGGCTCTAATTATAGATTTTTTCTTTTTTTTTTTTTTAAACTATTGAAATCCTGTCACTTCTTTTTGCCAATCAATTCTGTAATCAAAGGTTATTTCTACATGCAGCACAGAAAATCCGATATTTCCCTTCTGCATGTAATTGGGAAAGCCATGAGGCAAAAAGTTTGATTGCCTCTTTATGCAGCAGGGCACTTTATTCCCCATAGCTGAGAGAGCCCAATGCAATGAAAGTGTGAGAATAATTCTCCCTTTTCTTTCCCCCTCATTGCACTGTCAGTGTGATCAAGGACACAGCTCCATTTATTACTGCATGTCATTCACATGCAATCATTTCACAGCTCATTTGTTTACTGAACTCCTTGTTTGCATGGAGGAAAATCAGTATTCAGCAACTTTCTTAGAAAATCAGTCTGGATCTCACTTATCTGGAGAGCAAGTGATAAAGCCCTGCCTTGAAGGGCACAGCTCTGGAGATAAGCAGAGACCTCAGTTTTGTTTACCTTTAGGAGAGTAACAACAAAGATTGCAGCTGGAACTGGGAAAAGGGAAAGAGATGTGTCTGATTATTATATTATTATTATATATATTATAATATATATACATTATATATTATATATAATATAATATATTATATAAAATATATTATATGTTATACATAACATAATATATAATATATAATATATGATATATGATATATTATATATTATATATTATATATTATATTATAATATTTTTATATAATTATAATATATATTATTATATATTATTATATATATTATAATATTATAATACATTATATTATTATCCTGATATAAATTATTATATTATGAGAAGAAATGGAAAAGGGGGTTAGTTTATTTTTGTTTACAGGGATGCTCTCTTAAAAATCCCATTTAGGCATTTATATTTTTTCATCTGTCATTGTTACAGTCAATTTCTTTGCGTGATCACAACGTGGAGACGCAGACAAGCTGCTCATTGGATATCTTAATTCTGGATACCTGCATTTTTTGAGTGCTTTTTTCAATTGCTGATTGTCATCTCTAGCTGACCTGCAGGCCCTGTGCTGCTCTGTACCACACTGGTGCATTCATCTGGGAGAAATTAATTTTCCAAGGTGTCTAATTGGTGACCAGTGCCTATTTGAGGCAGTGGGAGCCATGCAGAGTTATCAGTGACAGGGAAGTGGGGCAGGCAAGTGCAGGGAGAAGAGGAGTTCTGGTGCAAAATGGGCAGTCCTGAGCATTTTTCTCTTTGGTTTTCATCCCAAATCTCTCTGGAGGAGCAGAGAATTTACATAATTATTTTCTTAAGGTAGATGTGAAGTGCTGACAATTTGCAAAGGGTTTTTTGGCAGCTTCCTTGTTCTTGTGTGGGCTGCTGTGCAAAGTCAAGCCATGGGACAAAGCTTTCCCAGTGCTTGCTCTGCACGGGCTCATTTTCCAAGGGGAACTGACAAGCTTTAGCTGGGATTTAAAAATCAAGTAAAAGATTTGGCTCCCTGAAAACACATCTCTGGTGAGGCCTCTAGGAATGGGAAGGAAGCTGAAAACATTTCATGGGAGGTGCAGATGTGGTGCTGTCATGAGCACTTATCCCCACACACACACATGTCCCCTCTGGGGAAGAAATCCTGGAGAGCACATGTGGAAGTGGTGGAAAAGGGATCTCCAAAGGAGGCAGGAGAAAAGGCAAAATAAAAAGCACAATTCTTTCCACATTTGGCTTGCAAATGATAAATGGCCATGTCATGCGCACTGATTAAGGGCTCAATACATTATTCTGCAGTGAGAAATACCTTCTGAAAAGACCCTGTGCTGTCTAAAGAGATCCTTGGGCTGAATCCAGCAGTGAAACATGGCTCAGAGCAGCCTCTGGGAGCGCAGCTCAGGCAGGGAGGTTGGACACTCCCCCTCTCCCACGGTTTTGCTTCTCAAACATGACAGCCCAGGGAGTTATTTCAGAATGCTGCAGAATGGGCTCTGTTGCAAACTCTGGAAGTCTGGTGTGGAGCAGAGGGGCAGCCCAGGGAGTTCCTTCCCATGGATTGCTCCATCAGCTGCTGGCTCCATCAGCAGTGGGACTCACCCAGGGAGAGAATCCTCCTTTGGGGAATTCATCCACCTGCATGGCTGTGGGCATGCTGCCTCCCCTAAACCAGCACTGAATAAAGTGCTGCACTGGGCAGGTGCTCAGTTTTTCCTGCCAGGAATGGCATGGATGCCGTGGTTCTCTCCCTCCTGTGCCAGTGCTGAGAGGCAGAGCTGTGCCAGGGATCCCCAAAGCAGCCCCTGCCTGGCTGGGATTGCTCCTTTCTTGGGCTGCCAAGGGGATACAAAGACCCACAGCTTACCTCATGTGCTCTAACCCATGGCATTTAGCCCTGAGGAGTGGAGCTGGGCAGAAGTTTCACTGAAAATGCAGAGTGGCTGAGCTCATTTTACTTTTCTCTTTTTTTTTTATACCAGCAGAGCCTTGGGAGGAGCAGCAGCCAAACAGACAGAGAGGAATTCATAGCTGGGTTCACTTCTGGGGGTAGGAAAGCTGCAGGTTGCCCCCTCCATGGACATCCCTCAGCACCAGGAGCCTGAGGATGGGGTGGCCACAGGGAGAGGCTTCCCTGCAGCTGCTCCTCAAAAAAGGACATTTCTTCCTCCCTCTGCTGACAGAGGGATCAGTCTCCCCGAGCAGCTGCAGGGTCAAGGTAGCTTCTACTCAGGGGAAGTTTCAAGAACCAGAAACTCTTTTTTCCCAGCCAGCTCTAGTGGGAAAGTTGTTTCTGCAGCTGTAGTGCTGGGAAAGGCTCTCCCATGCCCCTAAGCATCCTCAAGGACAGGGGGTTTGAAGTCAAAATTGGATGGCAGCACTTTATTCACACCCTTCCCTGCCTCTCTGGGACCTGTGTTCTGCCTGATGTACTGAAACAACTCAGAAACTGCACAGGGGGAAACAAAACAACCCAAAAAACCAGAAAATGAGCTCATTGACCTGGTGATTGAATTTGGCTGTTGCACTGTAACAGTATGGTTGTGTTACAGTGCAAGGAACCCCTGAGGGAGCTGGGGCTGCTCAGCCTGGAGAAAAGGAGACTCAGGGCTGCCCCCATCACTCTGCACAGCTCCTGAAAGGTGCCTGTGCTCACCTGGGGCTGGGCTCTTTCTCCAGCAGCACTGACACACCCAGAGCACACAGCCTCGAGCTGCACCAAGGGAAATACAGGTTGGATAGCAGGGAAAAACTTTTTATGGAAAGAGTGAGAAAGCTCTGGAATGGCTGCCCAGGGAGGTGGTGGAGTCCCCATCCCTGGGTGTGTTTAACAAAGCCTGGATGTGACACTGGGTGCCAGGGGTCAGTTGAGCTGTTGGGGCTGGGCTGGACTCGATGGTCTTGAAGGTCTCTTCCAACACAGGGATTCTGGGAATTCTGTGAGGGATGGGACTGAGAGCAGCAGGAGGGTGTTACCCCCTGGAATTTCAGACCAAACAGCCCCAGTGAGGGTGGGATCAGCTCCTCAGAGTCAGAGGATCAGGGGGTGCAGAGGGATGGGGAGGTCACTGCTGGGTGCAGGAGGTGACAGACCCCTGGGCCATGGGGGACACGGGAGGGCTGGCCAGGGGCTGGGAGGGGGAGATGGACAGAGGTGGTGGAGACCCTGTGCCAGAGGGACATGGGAACAGCAGGACGTGGCCCCAGCCCCAAAGCTCAGTGGAGGGCTCAGCAGCCCCTCAGAGGGAGGACAGGAGGAGCTCTGGATGCTGGCAGCACCAGCCAGCCCACCCTGGTCCCCACAGTGCTCCCACCATCCCCACGGGCTGACCTGTGGCCTTTGGGGTTCAAAGCTGGCCAAATTACAAGGGATTAGAGAAAGTGGAGGGGCAGGACAGGTCAGAGGTCACAAGGCACCAGTTCCCACTGCGATAGGAATAAAGGGACACTCACATTCAACCTTTTTCTCCAGCATTGCCAAGTGATTAGCTACTTCCGTTTTCAGTTCATTGATTTTAAAAACCCTGGAAAGAAAACCCTCATGTATTAATGTCATACATGTAATGTTCTACCTACCCTAGGTGTTAAAAATTTCTGCTAGAAATGTCCATATTTCTGTGTCTATGACTGATCTGCCCAGCCCATGTTTGTCATAAGGAAAAAGCAAACTTTCCATGGAAATGCTAACACTGGGGCAGAAAATACACCTGGGTTTAGTTTTCAGAAAATTAACAGGAGATTATTTTTTTATGGCCCTGGCAATGTCCTGTGGCTCTACAACACTATATCTGCCCCTCTCTCAGCAGTGATTTGCTACTGTACCCCCCAGGGAAGCAAAGTTAAATTGGTAATTGTTCAATTGATAATTCATAATTGTTCAACTGGTAATTCATGATTGTCCAAGAGCAGCGTCTCGGTGTCTGCACACTCTGAAACCTCCTCCCCTCCTGCTGACTTACACTGCTGATTTCTGGGCTTTGCTTGGACTGATCTGTCTCATTGAAACCAGCTGGGATTAAATAAGCAGCTACACAGATGTGGAGAAATCCTCTCTGAGGAAAGACATTTTTGGGTGATAAAGGGGAAAACGAAACAAATCCAATGATTTGACTGCTCAACAAAGCAGCGTTTCTTTTGCTTCCTAAGAGGGAAGGAGCATTTACTACTTGATCTCCTTTTTAGATCAAAGATAATCACTGAAATTGCTTTTGGTTTGAGCTACTGTATTGCTGTCAGCAGGAAATAATGTGTCCCAGACCTAAATTTGGCAGGCAGAGTGGGATTTGAAAGATGTCTTAAATGCCCCTCTGCCTCCTGTGAAAATTTCACTTCAGGCTGATAAAAGAAACAGCATTTTAAATTAATAATGATGTTCAGTTTCTTACCTCGAGAACTGCTCAGCAATCTGTCCCAATAAATTCTGGAACAATTCTTCTTTCTCTGAAAAAAAAAAAAATATATGGAAGACATGATAGAAAAAAAAAAGAAAGGAAAGAAGACACCCTCAGCCCTTCTGCAAAGTGGGCTTCCAGTTCTGATGGGGAGGTCAAAAAATTGTTTAGGTGCTTTGAAGAGTGACATGGGAATGGCTCCTTGTCTCACCTGCCTTCTTCTTCCTGCAGATTACAGACAGGTTTCCCAGAAGTTTTATTTTTGGGAGGCTGAGTGTCTGAGAGGTGGCTTGTTTTAAAGCAGCACCTTCTGGAGAACAGACCCTTTCACAGAGCTTGGGTGGGACACCAAGAACCCCACCTAGCTTTTGAAATTTCCTGCTCACAGTTGGTGCCTCTACACCACCAGCACTCTGTGACAGAGTGCCCATAAACAACCCCACAGCCCATGAACAATCCCACATGAACAACCCCACAGCCCATGAACACCCCAGCCAATGAGCAACCCCACAGCTCATGAACAACCCCACAGCTCATGAACAACCCCACATGAACAACCCCACAGCCCATGAACAACCCCACATGAACAGCCCCACAGCCCATGAACAGCCCCACATCCCATGAACAACCCACAGCTCATGAACAGCCCTACAGCTCATGAACAACCCCACATGAACAACCTCACAGCCCATGAACAACCCCACAGCTCATGAACAACCCCACAGCTATGAACAACCCACAGCCCATGAACAACCCCACATGAACAACCCCACAGCCCATGAACAACCCCACAGCTCATGAACAACCTCACATGAACAACCCCACAGCCCATGAACAACCCCACAGCCCATAAATAACCCCACAGCTCATGAACAACCCCACAGCCCATGAACAACCCCACAGCCCATGAACAACCCCACATGAACAGCCCCACAGCCCATGAACACTGAATAAAACTCAGCCTGCCTTTCAGTCTTATCCTGGATACCATTTATTTTTTTTCCTGGTGCAAATGCCTGAGGATCCTGCTGCCTTGCACAAACTCCAGGCAAACACAAGATGACAAAGTGCTGTCCCTGCAGAATGAGCTCTGCCCTTCCTGGTTTGTGGGATGGACACAGCAGGGTACAACTTTCCCAGCCCCTTTTCCCTTGAGAACACAGCCTGGACGGAGCTGCCACAGGGATCATGTCAAGATCCCATTGTTCCCTGAGTTCCTCCACACTGGGAGCCCTGTGGGCTCTCAGGATCTCCTGCTGCCTCAGGAAAGTCAGGCTGATGAAGCCCCAGCCTCTTCTCAAGAAAATCACAGGATTGTAATTCCCAGCACAAGGAAAAGCAAACAATCCCTTAAAGCAGGACAGCACATTTCAAGGGACAGCACACTTTAGGAAGGAAGAAGAATGATAGCAATGTTTTCCCATCTTTTAGCATGTCCACAGAGAAAGGGGAAGCCCAAATCACTTTTGCTGAGCCCTGAGATGCTGTTTTGGGATTGTTCCCTCTTTCCCCCAGCAGCTAAAGCAAACTGCCCCAAAGTGCTGCAGAGATTCCTGCACTGGGGGTGTGCTCAAGGGAAGGAAGCACTGAGTGCACTCAGAAACACATTGCAGATCTCAGAACACCTATTTATTTATACCCACACAGAAACACCCCATGGCATTTCTGCAGGGAACACAGCACCTCACAAGTGCAATCACCCAGGCAAAACACATCAGACAGAAATACAGCCCAGCGTTTACCATTTATTTCCAAATAACAGCTCTTGCACCTGTTGAAAGGATTTGCAATTCCTCGGGTATTAGAGACATCAGCAATACTTGTCAGGAGCATTCACATCACAGGTCAAAACAATTTGCCTGTTACCCCCTGTGCCTCAAAACTGGAGCAAGCATTCTGTGCTCTGAAGGTCTCAGATCTAATTCCTTCTTTTTTTTTCCCTTTTCCCTCTCCCAGCTCCCAGAAGAGAAAACAGAAATTGCTTCTTCTCACAGAGACCCATTTTCCATTTTTTCTCACAAAACCCAAGCGCCGAAACAAAGCAAACGCCGCGTCCTATTTAAGAGAGGAGGCAAACTTACCGTGGGCAGCACCTGGGATGGCACAGAGTCCAACAGGGAAAACAAGCAGTGAAAGCAGAGAAACCAACCCCTGTCCTCTCCCTTCGAGGCTGCTCAGCCCTCTGACAGTGGCTGGAGCGTGCCAGAGACTGACAAGTTCCCTATAAACGCTGTTCCAGCAAAAAAAAAATAAAAAAACCCCAACAATGTTACTTTCACTCCCTCCCCCTGTCAAAACTCACTCAGAGGACTAAGAAATTCCCATCCAGGGAACAGTCAGCTGCAATCTGATGTTTATGGATGTAATAAAAGACTTTCAAAATGAAGATGTATGTTTTTATAACCCTAGGGTGCAGTAAAGATATATGACTAAGAGTGGCAGCTCGCCTCATCTTAAAGAGACAAAGATCCATTTCTCTGCCCTGCTCCTTTCCAAAGGGAAGACCTCTGGTAACCCCGGGTTCTGAAGAAAATGAGACATGGATCTGACATAATTTACTCTTGTTTGTCCCCTCCTTTGTAGAACAGGAGGGCTAAGGGTGTTTTTGCTCCCTTCATTTCCCTCTGTCTCATTTTTTTATACCCCTGGGCAGGGCTGAAGCCCCAGGTTCACACAGACACCTTTTCCCTCGGATTGCTTCCTTTGTTTTGTTGCAATTCCCTCTCTGAAAAGGAAATCCTGCTGCAAGCAGCCCTGGCAGCAGCTCTGGGTGCTTTACTGAGGGTCCTCTTGCAGCATCCCCCCAAAAAATCCCCTTTCTTCCCCCCTCACTGCAAACCAGCAATATTTACAGATGCAGGTGTTCAGCAAGCCAGGTTTTTGCACAACACCCTGGGTATTTTGCAGCTGACAAAAGACAACCAGAACCCCCCAGAAGATGCTGCAATGGTTAATGCTGGGCAGAGCTCAGGCTGCCCAGGGCTCTGTGCCACTCCTGCTCTTTGCCCTATGGCCTCTGCCAAGCTCAGCAGGCAGCTTGGCCAGGACACCGTGGAGAGAGGAGCTGTTCTGCCTCGTCCCCAGCAGGTCCTGGGAGCAAAGCAGGTGTGGGCGATTTGGCAGCAGCGTTTGTTCCTGTGCCCCTGCCGTGGCTGGGTGGGAGGCTGGCAGGGAGAGCCCAAATTCCCTGCCAGCCTGGCACCAGGGGCACTCTGAGCAGCTCAGCTGAGCTGCCCTGGCACAGATGGGTTATTACCCACTGGCAGGCACCCTCTGCCTCCACCACCCTGCTTACAGAGTCTCTTCCTGCACCCTCTCACCCTCTGGGATTGCGGCCAGGGAGACGCCTCCATCCTCTCGTGACTCCCTTTGTCACCCTGCCAGCCCCTGTCACCCTGCCAGCCCCTACCACTCTGCCACCCTGCCACTCTGTCACCCTGCCAGCCCCTGCCACCCTGCCACTCTGCCACCCTGCCACCCTGCCACCCTGCCAGCTTCTGCCACCCTGCCAGCCCCTGCCACCCTGCCACCCCACCAGCCCCTGCCACCCTGCCAGCCCCTGCCACCCTGCCACCCTGCCAGCCCCTGCCAGCCCCTGCCAGCCCCTGCCACCCTGCCACCCTGCCAGCCCCTGCCAGCCCCTGCCAGCCCCTGCCACCCTGCCACCCTGCCAGCCCCTGCCACCCTGCCAGCCTCACAGCCTGTGGGCAGGGAGTCCCTGGGGCTGGGGGAATGGTTTGGATTCCCCCTGGTTTGTCTGCCTTGGCCAAGCAAGGCTGGGAGGGCACAGGCATCTCCCTTTCCTTGCCAGCGTCAGGCTGGTGAATCCCTGCCCTGTATCCTCTGGCTCAGGCTGCTCTCTGCATTTCACTTTCTGTGGTTTGCTTGGATCAGGGCAGTCAGGGTAATTAAAAAACCCCACAAGCAGCCAGGTGGACAAAAGCCTCGGGAAGGGGTGAATTTCAAGCCCGAGCCCACATCCATGAATCTGTCACATGGAGCCCCAGATTGATGTCATTCACAGCTCAGGTTAATTCGGGCTGTTGCATGCAAATTCCCCATCAGGTGAGCAATCCCAAAGGAGTTGGCCACATCCCAATGCACGGATCAGCAGAGGGAGGAGGATTTTTCTCTCTCTCAGTCTCTGCCTCCTCAATCTTGCCTGAGCTGAGAGCATGAACAAGACTCCAAAAGGAGAAGAGAGAGATGCCAGAATATGAAGATTTAGACCCAGTGACAAATTTCTGTCGTTTTACCAATACCAAACCACACAAGATCTCAGGTATTGAATCATCCAGGGGGAAAATCATCCCAGTGCATCAATGCTGGGCTTTACTGCCCTAACTTTGGAGCAATAGGAAATTCCCTGAGAATGTTTTCCTGTCCTGTCAGGACCACTTTTGACTCCACAACACCTCCTTCCTCTACACTATCAGAAACAAAACAGATTTCAATTTTATCCCTCAAGAGGGTGCTAATAGGGTTTGTTCATTTAATTGTCACCCCTGTAAAATCTTGAAGTGCCTGAACCCTGCTAATTAGAGCAACAACACAGCCATCAGTTTGTGAGCTGTGAGCCAGTTCCACCAGGAGGACACAGACCAGAGCCCTTCTGCTGGGGTGAGGGACAGGATGCTCATTCAATGGACTTGGAAATTAAAATACCACTGAGAAAATAAAATGCCACAGGGGTTTTGATGCTCTGCATGGATAGCCATAAATCTGCTGCTCCAGGCCATAGGAGGAGGGACAGGGTGTGATCCAGGAGCTTCACGGGCTCAGAGCCAGTTCAGGCCTCCTCTAACCCTAATCCTGATCTTAACCCTGTTCCTGACCCTAACCCTGTTCCTGATCTTAATCCTGAACATAACCCTAATCCTGACCCTAAACCTAACCCTAACCATCCTCTAACCCTAATCCTGATCCTAACCCTGATCCTAATCCTGATCCTGACCCTAACCCTAACCCTAATCCTGACCCTAAACCTGACCCTAACCCTAATCCTAATCCTGATCCTGACCCTAACACTAACCCTAAACCTAACCCTAACTGTCCTCTAACCCTAATCCTGATTCTAACCCTGACCCTAACCCTGATCCTAACCCTGATCCTGACCCTAATCCTAATGCTAATCCTAATCCTAACCCTAACCCTGACCCTAACCCTGATCCCAACCCTTGCAGACAGCCAACCCCTGACACATCCATGGCTGCTGCATCCCACACTCTCTGGAATAATAATGATGTTTTTATTTCCAACCCTGTCCCATGACTATGGCCAGGAAATGAAGAACTGTTCCTTAGCAGGACTCCAGTGGAGATCTCCTCTGCTGGACAGCAGCCACTGCTGATGTTTTTCCTCCCTAAGGATTGAATTTTCCAGTCCCACCTTTTACAGCCTCTGTTCCCTGTGCCATTCTCCTGCAGCTGCCTGGGAGTCTGCTGGGAGAGGTGCATTACCTCCCACCACTGTGAAAATTGGGGTGACCCCCTTTTTGGCACCTATTTGGATGAGCTGCTTTGGGAATCAGGCAGAGTTGTGTGAGAAGTGAAGAACAGAACAGAGCAGGGTTGTTTTATTTCTTTTTTTTTTCTTTTAATGAAAAGGAACAATTTCCCACTCTGTTTATTCTTCCTACTGTCAGCAAAATGTCAGGAATACTTAAGATTAATGACAAGCCATGTGAAAGGGAAAAAGATACCAAGGAACATTAGTTCCATCACGCTCAGCTCAACTTTCTTCCTCTTTCCACAGCAGACTCTGTCTTATGTTTTGACAGTCTATGGCCAGGATTTTTCTTGCCCTTTTCAGCTCAAGATCTTTGGAAATCCTTGTTTTATGAAATGCAGGGAGTGAAGAGAGATCTTGCTGACACAGTGAGCTGTGCTCCGCACAAAGCAGAGCCGTGTGCTGTCAGCTGGGGATGAAAAATGAGGGCCTTGGGAGAGTGTGAAAAGTCATCCATGGTCCTATAAAAATACACTGCTAGCTTCATGTTAGGGGAATAACAAAAATACATTCAAAAAGGAGTGTGTTTTCTAGAATCCCCTCAATCAGCTCCCCAGATGGTGTAACTCAGTGGCATTCCCTGCTGGAGCCATGCTGTCTCCATTTCTCTGCCATGGGGTTACTCACAGAACCTGGGACACAGAGCCATGTGCTCCACCCCACCTTTTCTCCTGTGATAATGCAGACTGCGCTCCCAGAGCAGCAGAGTGATGCTGCTGCTGCTGCTGCAGGGTTTGTCACAACAAGGAAACACTTTGGCAGACAGCTCCTTCCCCCTTACAGTCACACGTGTGTGACTCCCTGCTCCTGGCAATCACTGACATGGGATTTGTTTATGGCTTCTCACAAATCTCACTGTGGCTCTTCCCTGTTCCCTACCCTCTGTGCTCTCTGCTCACCTTTGCTCCCTGCACAATCTCCCTGCTGCTGCCTCTGTGTCTCCCCACATCCTCCTTTCCAGATGTTTCTGCCAAGGCAGATGCCTCAGGAAACAGCCTGAGTTCCCTGTGCCTCTCCTTGAAGAAGACACAGTGATTTTAATGAAATGAATAATTTCAGAGTGTCAGAGTGTCAGTTTCCATCCATAATTCTGGACCCTCAGCCAGAAGATGAGGTGGGACCACCAAAACATCACCTCTCCCATCCCAACATGTTCACCCACTTCTGCACACCACTTTTTCCAGCCCCAGGCTTTGTCTCACCGCTGTTCTGTGTTTCCGGGACAATCACAACCTTGTGCCCTTTGTCTCTCCTATCTTCCCACTTGACTGCTCCAAGGAGTGTCCCCAGCTGATGTCCCCTGTCCTGCTGCAGCCCTGCCAGCCTCTCCCTGTGGCTCCAGAGTGTCCTGATGTGAGAGGCAGGAGACTGCAGCTGCACAGAAGAGAGAAACCACAAGCCAGAGGCTCACAGGGATTGCCCCAAGCCAAAGTTCTGCTCCAGTGTCTGAGAGCATGGTACTGACAGCAAAGGGGAGTGGGAGAAGAGGCACTCCAGCCCTGCCTGGGGCTGGGGAATGTGCTCCAAATGTTTTCTTTCACCCAGGCCCTCTTTAACCTTGTCAGGTGAATTTAAATATTTATCACACTTACAGCTACCATACCCACAGCAGAAATTATGTTCTCTCCTCAGCCGTTTGGAAATAACACGAGGCTCAAATGTTGTGCTCGGCTTTCCAGCAGAGAAAAGGGCAGGTTTAACAAAACACTGCAGGGCAAAATTTCATTTTTCTTGCTTGAAAAGCTCCCACTGCTCCATGCAAGGCTTTCCCCAGGGCATCAGGAGTGCTGAGTCAGACCAGAGCAAGGCACTGGGAAAGCTCCCTGGACTCAGCCATTCACCTGATCCTCCAATTCATTGAAATCCAGGCACATATTTAAAGCTTTCCTGCAGAACACTGTGATCAAACACTTATTCTGCTGCAGCTACAACCATGACACTGACATCTTCATGGCCACATAATTTCCACATGCAAATGTTTGAAAATTCAGCTTTACTTAATTCAGCTTTAGTAGATTCAGCTCCAAAGGGTCATTTTACCTGAGAGATGCTCAGTCATAACTGGGATCACTTTGTATGGAGACCTGGAAGAGCCACAGAGGGTTGATGTTAGCAACACTCAAAATGCAGTTTGTGTTTCACATCTGTGCTCCCTGAGAAGTACAAAGAAGTATCTGAAGATATCCCAAGCTCTCTTAAAACCTGTGAGTTTGAGTAAGCAATGGACATTTTTTCTGAACACACAACCCTCTGATTTACAGAGAATTTAGAAACAGAATTATTAGATTCTCTGATTTAGAAACAGAATCATTGAACCATAGAATTTGGGTTGGAAGGGACTTTAAAAATCATCCAGTCCCAGCCCCTTGCCATGGGCAGGGACACCTTCCAGCATCCCAGGCTGCTCAGTGTCCAGCCTGGCCTTGGACACTCCCAGGGATGGGGCATCCACAACCTCTGCTCTGTGTTTGTGCCCTGTCCTGTGCAGGATCTCCCTCCCAGCTGCTGGGGCTGCACCACACAGTGCAATAAAGGCATTGAAGAGTCATCATGGAATATGGGCCCAAGCCAGCAATGAAGAGACAACTCATCACTCATCACAGGTTTTGAGCTTGCTTTTCCAGTAATCTGCTGGTTGTGCCCTAGCAGAGCAATCAGGAGTGGGGGAACAACAGAGATGTGACAGCAAACAGAGAGGGATGGGAATAGATATTCTACATTAAATACCTAAAAGCAGTAATTTTTTTCCCCTAAGACAATTACTCCTGCTTTAATAAGTAAAAGTTTTGCAAAAAACCAAAAATCTTTCCAACCATCACTTGTGCTACAGGCCAGCACACATTTCTTCTGCCATCCCCTCCTTCTGCACACAAACACCTTCTGCAGGCAGCCCCTGCCTTGCCTTGGGGCTCAGCCTGCCCTGGGGGAGTAGGTGGCAGCAGGGCTCACCTCTCAGTGTTGGCAGGCATCGTGGGATCAATGGACACCATGCAGTTGTCTGCTGTCAGAAGGGAGATGGTGGTGTTCCTGAAAAGCAAGTTCCAAAGAGGGTTATGTGACCTGGAAATGCCAGCTGGAATCCTGGGCTGCTGCTGCATGGGATGCAGAGCCATCTTCCCTCCTGCAGACGCATCTTGTCTCCTTGCTCCTGGCCTAGTAACCTCTGTTACCTCAGAGCAGAAAGAGTCAAAGCCCAGAGCAGGGAAGGCTCAATGCTTCACCCATGAAAAATGTGAAGTGTGATAATTTTTGATCTCAGAGCAGACCTTGCTCCCTGCTAATTCATTTATTCTCTTGACTCACTGAATAATAATTTCTGTTAAAAAGCTGTATTTTGTGATAGATTGACTCAGCAGCTATGTATTGACTCATCCCATACAAATGACTTTTGGTGCTATGAATGTCTTGAAGTTATTTAGTTATTCATTTGCCAAAACAAACAAAACAAATATCTTGCTGAATATGGGGTCTTTCTCTTTTTTAATTACTGTGCTAAGGGTGATCTCATAGGCTCAGATGTAAACCTTGGAGGTTTACTTTGGCTCCAGGATCCTGGTTGAAATGCAATTTTCCTTTGAAAATCTTGTGACGAAAATAAAATGCCAAATATGCAGTGAACACCCTGACTGTGAGTGATTAAAACTGCTGAACAAAGTTTCCTGGGTGATGGAGTGGAAGTCTTTGACATCACAGGAAAATGAGAGTTATTAACCTCTCTAATGTCAAATAGGAGGAAATAGAACAAACAGCAAAGGGCATTAATTTTGTCCAGCAGCTTATGCAAATTCAATTTTATCTTTCAATCCTCAGAGCTGGAGTCATGCAGTAAAACCATGATTAGAAGACTGGTTTATTTTTCTCCTGCACTTTTCCTGTACTGTAAAGCTGTGTGTCCAGAGATAAAGACTTTGCCTTGTTGCGTCCAGCCTGGGCTGCTCCAGATCCTTATTGAAACAGCAGATTCCCCCTTCTGGAGGTGATTGAGGGTTCTGGAAATGACTGAGGGGCTTCCCTCCCCTGATGCACTGCCTGGAGGTGATGGATGGATGGATGGATGGATGGATGGATGGATGGATGGATGGATGGATGATTGTGGCAGTACCAGTTGTGGGTTTCTCTGGGTCTGGATTGAAGGCACCTGAGATGGTGTTGCATGTTCACACTCAGGTGTTTATTGTTTCTTATCAGTAAAACAGTCTCACTACTGTGAGTTCTACAGCTTTTCATTAGAAGGCACAAAATGGCCAACAATCTCTTATTACAAGGTCTTTTAAGACTAAACTATCCAATGAAGAACTGACACCTGGATTATTTTCCCTTTTAACCCAATAACTGATCCCACAGAGCTGCAATGGGGACTTTTCTGCCCAATTACAAAATGCCACCCAAACCCATGGAGAAGAAGCATGAAGAAGAAACCTAGGACAACACCCTGTGCCCTCCATCTTGCTTCCATCCACAACATAATAAAAATCCCAAATCCTCTCACATCCCACAGGAAAGAGCCACAGAACCTCAATTTCTCACCAAGTGATACACCTACACTGCTCTCTATAACCTATTTCACACTTTTGTGGATTCCAGTCTCTCTTGAAGTCTGGGAAACTTTCTCCATGAATGAGGGTCAGAGTCAGTGCTGCCCTGGGGGTCAGGGATGGATGGATGGATGGATGGATGGATGGATGGATGGATGGATGGATGGGTATTACACCATCCACCACATGCCAGCCTTTCACAGACACCCTCCCATGACCCTGGACCCCTCTCAGCACTGAGGTTTCAGCTGGATACTGCTCTTGAGGTTGAAGGGAACAAATCCTATTTGGATTTTCCCCAAATGGAAAATCACAGCAGGAGGGTTACAGGGACTTTGTGAGACTACATAAATTAGGAAATACATGGCCTGGGCAATGGATTTGGAGATATTTATGTTCTATAAAATGCTTCAGCTGGGGTACTTTGGGTTTGACTATCCCATACCTGGGATTAGATTTTAAAACACCTAAAGAGAAAGCTTATTACCTGGTGGCAATACTTCTTGTTAGCCCAAATTTTTCCCCTAAAAAACAGGTTCTAAACATGTGCCTGCATTTCACTCAATATGGGCAAAAAAGTAGCAGTGAGATATAAGTGGTAGGTGTGCCCAACCTGTGTGTACTCAGGGCTGGTCTTCTTCACTTGCTTTTATTTTAGATTATTTCTCCTCTGTTCTACTCTATTCCACTCTGTTCCTCATGTGCAGCCAACACCGAGGTGGCTCAATTCCCTACCTCCACATTTTCCAGCTCTTGATTGTCCCAGTTTCTTCCTCCAGCAACAAGAGACAAGCCTGAATAGCAGCTAAATAAATCATTTGGGGCTTGTCTTTAAATTGCTTCCAAAGGAAAGAAACAAAAGTGAAATGAATGTCACAAATGACAGACCCACCTCGGTAGCCCTGTTGCAATGCAGCAAAGGTCCATAATATCTTTGGAATTGCAGTATTTACTGAAGATCACCTTCCAAAGGAAACAGCAGCAGAGGGGGAAAAAAATGAAGAAAAAGAGAAAGGATGGTTAGTTCCTACAGAGATTTGAATCCTGTTCAGGCATGCACTGGGCTAATTTTAAGGCACAGTCTGTGATTTCAATTATCTGGTTTGATTTGTGAGCTGGAATCTTTCTCTGCTCCTGTGTAATACCTGTGTGTTTGTCAATAAAGCAAACAAGATCTGGAGACCTAAGTGTTGTTCAGAAGTGGAGCAATAACCTGTGTGAGCTGAGAGCAGGGGGCTTCCTTAAAATGCAGTGCAGCTGTGGGATGAAAACAGCTGTAAATTAAAGAGTGTAAGAGCCTAGATTTAGGAAGAACACTGCCCAGATTTGAGCAGGTCATGGGATGATATAAAAGGGCACTGCTTTTTGGACCACACCAGCTTATACTAGGTTGAAAGTGAGCAGAGCTTGTGCCAAAATTCCCACTGACTGTCAGATGTTCCTGTTGTTAGGTCAGAAGCCAGACCTGGAATTACAAAATTTGCCACTGTTACCTTCCCATCTCCCCAAACACCTCTTCATCCTCCCACCCTTCCACACACACCAGGCAGACCCAGTGCAAAGACTGAGCAGCACATCCCCAGTCCCATTTTTCCATTCAGTGACACAATCCCAGCCACAGTTTTCCCCAAGACTCCTGTGTCCATCAGGACTTGTAGGTCATGGTCCTCCCAGCTTTTTCTGCAGTCAGAAAACACTTTAATGATACCATTACAGCACTTCCCATCAGTCTCACTATGCCCCAGTGCAATATTTAAACTCTGTAATCTAAAGCTTGTTAAATTACTTGCCCTGGATCTTATCATGGGTGAGTGGCAGGCCAGAAACAGAACCCAGGAGTCCTAATTTGATGTCTTATTAGATTAAGAGACAGCACATTACCTCTGAAAGAAAAACACTCAGGAATTCAACAGCAGCACTCTGCATGAGGAGTGTCCCATTTCAATAAATGTGTATTTGTAGGATGTCTGTCCTTGTGACTGAGGTCCCTGAGGTTGCTCCCAATCCAAACTCACTTCTCCTCTGTTGGCTGCACGTTGCACTATTGAATCTTCCAGTGCTCTAAATCAAAATCTTGTTCCTAGTGGACTTATTGGGGAAAACAGCCTTTGAAAAAAAGGATCTCTGCTGCCAGTGAGAAAAAACAAACAAGTGTGGGTGGAATAAAAAGAAAGTGCAGACATGAGAATGAAGGATGGGGCTTGAATGGTCCTGCCAGTGTTGTGTCCCTTTCCTCAGAGCAACTCTGAGCTCCTCGTGGAGGCAGAAATTAAATGCCTCATTGCAGCCAGACTCTCCTTAAAGCCAGGAACAGCAACAAGCAGTGGGGATGGTTTATCCAGTGGGGATGGTTTGTCCAGTGGGGATAGTTTGTCCAGTGGGGATGGTTTATCCAATGGGGATGGTTTATCCAGGGGAATGGTTTGCCCAGTGGGGATGGTTTATCCAGTGGGGGTGGTTTATCCAATAGGAATGGTTTATCCAGTGGGGGTGGTTTATCCAGTGGGGGTGGTTTATCCAGGGAAGATGGTTTATCCAAGAGGGATGGTTTATCCAGTGGGGGTGGTTTTTCCAATAGGGATGGTTTGTGCAGTGGGGATGGTTTATTCAGTGGGGATGGTTTGTCCAGTGAAAATGGTTTATCCAGTGGGAATGGTTTGTCCAGAGGCTGCTGGTGTTGATGGGATGGTGCAGGGGTTGGTAGGGGGGAGCAGGGGTGTGGAGAGGGGCAGCTCCCCTGCCCAGCACTGCAGCCCTCTCCTCTCACATCCCACAGGAAAGAGCCCCAGAGACTCTGGGCTCAGGATGCAGCAGCTCAAAGGCACTTGTGGAGATTGACCTAAAGGCAAAACTCAGGGGGAACAAGAAATTTGCATTTTGCAGATGAACAGGGACGTCAAGATCAAAGTTCTCTCCTTGTGAGTGTTGGAAATGTGATTTTTCCGCCCCCTATAACCACCCCACATTCTCATGCACAGCTTCTGGTGCCACCCACGACAGGCATGAGGGGTGTGCATGTCCACAGAGCAGCCTGAAGGCTGGTGACGCTGGAAATAAGGAATGTGTCACCTGGGATGACAGCTGGGAGAAGACAGGGGGGCTGCAGCTGCCCTCCCAGACTGAGCAGGCCCTGTGTGTTCAGTGAGGTGAGGACCATGCTGAAAAATAACAAGTCATCATCTAATTAAAGCCTTCTCTGAAAGGTGTAGGTGCCAGGAGGTAATTAAGCCCATAGCTTCACTTTGTCAGCCTTGACTTTCAGGGGCTGTAATTCCTAAATTGTCACAACACTGGTGTGACACGGTTCCCCTGCTCCTCCAAGGTGCCCTTCAGGCTGCAGGGGAAGTCCCTCACCTGGAGGTGTCACAGGGTGACAATCAGAGCTCTTCCACTGGAAATGGGAAAATTTTGGGAGATCCAGGGTGTGCTGTGCAGCTAATGCCTGCTCAGGGCTCAGGCCATGCCAGCCTGAAGTACCAAGACAGTCTGGACAGCCCAGCAAGGCCTGGCTTGCCCTTGGGGTGCACAGACACTTCAGCAAAGCTCCAGCTTTCAGTTTTCACTGGTGGTGAGGAGCATTCTCACTCCTGAGCAAAGCATCAGGGTTTTGTGGCACAAAGGAGGATGATGGTGGTCACTTCTAGAGGTGGGTGTGACCCACACCTGCACTCACACCCACCTTCCCTGTGTTCTGCCCCAGGTGAAATTACTCCAGGGAATGTCTTCACAAAACATTCATGTGGCATTCACATTCTCTGGAAAACTCCCTTTACTCAGAATTTTTCTCCTGGGAAGCCGAGAAGCCTCAGAGAAAAGGAAAACAATTCTTATCTCATTTGCTTCTCCTGTGTCTTGCTCATGTGGAATGTGTTTGGAGATTGTTTACCCACAGATGATTGTTTCATTGGATTCTGGTGTGAGTTGTTTTGACTCATTGGCCAATCAGGGCCAAGCTGTGTCAGGACTCTGGAGAGTCACGAGTTTTCATTATTATCTTTTTAGCATTCAGAAAGTATCTTTTCTGTATTCTTTAGTATAGTTTAGTATAGTATTCTACAATATAATGTAATGTAATGTAATGTAATGTAATATATAATATAGTATTAAATTAGCCTTCAGAGAACATGGAGTCAGATGCATCATTCCTGCCCTCGTTGGGACACTCCCTGCAAACACAACACCTTCAGGCACCTGATTGCTAAGGCAGGGAGTGACTGTTGCTGGGGAAATGGGTGTGTCTCAAAAGTCAAGACTGACCCTTGGTTATTAAAGCACAGAAGCAATCAAAGCAATAAAACATAGCCAGTGGAGTTCACATAGGGCTGAAATCCTGCTCCTAGCAGAACTCAGCATCCTGACAGAGTGATAGCTGCTAAAATTGACTGGCAGAATATTGGAGTACAACTGGTACATGCAGTAACTGGGCAGATGATGTTAATTGTGCCTGAACAGAGGCAAAGGCTTGTGATGTGCCAGGAGTGCTATTTCAGGTATTGAGGTTTCTTATTCTGGAAATCAATTATTATTGACCAGGACAGACAAGAGAGGAAAAGATAAAAAAATTATTAGGGAACATTAAAGGTGAGAAAGTTGGCCTGACTCATAGAAAGCAGTAGGAGCTTTCAAGACACTGAGGATTAATTTTAATGTTTCCTTTTACTCCATGCAATAGTGAAAGAGTGGGAAGCGAAACAAAGCCTGTGATACTAGATCATGAGCCATCTCCATACATGCTTTTCAGTTTTCCATACTTGGCATTTTTACTTAGGTTTGCTAAAACTGGGTTTGTGAATCACCCACCACAGTTTCACACTCATCTCAGGATGCTTGTCCTCAGCTGGTTGTTTTTTTTTAATCAAAAAGCACATGCTATTAAAACTTCCTTCTTTTGCAGCCTGCTGAGGTGTTCTGAGCATCTCCCTTGTGCTCTGAAGCACAGCAGCCAGCCTCAGATGTTCTGTGGGAATGTGCAATTGTTCCTGTGATTGTCCCCAGGTCTGTGCTCCCATCAGAGTCGATGCCAGTTGTGCTGATGGAACACAACTGGGATAATGAGGTTTGGAGGATGGGAGGCCAGCCCTGGGTGCTATTGATGGCTCCAGCACAGAACAGGAATCCTGTGTGCCTGGAGTCCATTATCCCTGGGGGGACATCAGCAGCAGGAAGGCAATGTGGGGACACTTGGCTGGTGGCCACACTTTGGTGGCACCCATGTGTGACACGTGGGCTGTCCTGTGACCTGCAGCTCTGAGGACAGCAGCCCTGGCACTGGGGGACAGACAGAACATCTCACCCAGCCCTGTGCAGATGTGTCACAGATATGTTTCAGGGAAAATCCTTTTGCTAGGATTTTTCCTCCTGAGAAGCTGAGAGGCCTCAGGAACAAAATGTAAACAATGATTATCTGCTGCTGTGGAATGCAACAGGTGCATCTGTGATTGGTCTCATGTGGTTGTTTCTAATTAATGGCCAATCACAGTCAGCTGGCTCAGGCTCTCTGTTCAGTCACAAGATTTTATTATCTTTCCATTCCTTTCCTTTCAAGCCTTCTGATGAAATCCTTTCTTCTGTTCTTTTAGTATAGTTTTAATATATCATTTTCTTTTAATATAATATATATAATAAAATAATAAACCAGCCTTCGGAAACATGGAGTCAACATTCTCATCTCTTCCCTCATCCTGAGAACCCTGAAAACACCACCACAGAGATGTCCCTGCTTGGGCAGGTGTCCCCAAACCTTTGCTGCTCAGCCTGAGTCTCCATGATCATACATTTCTGGCACTGTCTGAGGGTCTGACCCCCAAATTTCATCTCCCTTCAGACCTGTCTCAGCTGTCTCTGATCCACATCTTGCTCAGGTCCGTGTGGGTGACAGGCCACTTCTGGGATGTGTCACAGGACCTCATTCCCTGCATTAATGCCTGGTGCTAGAAGATCTCCTTGCTCAGGAGAAGTTTGAG